TGGGGGAGTTAGCTTGGGTCATCTCCAAGGTTACTTTCAGATCTAGGAATCACTTATGCAAGATGTTACAGCTATTTTAAAATCCCTTCTTTCAGACCCATGGAAAATGGGGCCTGAGCTTTTCGGTGAGTTTGTATCCTTAATACTTTTGCTTGAGAGCCTGGTAGAAGGTTTGGCCTTTTAGGCCACCTTCAAAGTGACCTTTGTCCTGTACGCCAGGCTTGGTATCATCCTTACAGCTTAGTGATTCACAGTTTCAATCAGCACAGTGGACACCCATTCCTGGCCATGCAAATTTGATCATTTGAACACCTAATGCTGGTCTGTGTCTTCTTTGCCTCCATTTCTGATACGGGGTTATTGACATCCTTCAAGGATTTAATTATTTAATCACTGTAGTTGAGGATAATGAGTCCCCCTGAAGGATTTCATTCTGTAACACCAGGGTATTTCATTACGGCATCCTCTTCTCCTCTCTTTCCTAGTTGGGACATCCCTAAGCCACCAAACCTCATCTCTCGAGGAAGACACACATAACACATTGGATTCTGTAACCTCAAAAATAAGAGCGCTATGGTGGCCAGGGTTAGTGAAGAAAAATACAAACTATCCAGTTAGCATCAAGGCAAAGAAAAACATTTAATACAAGGGCAATATTTGGGACCTACCTATGCTTTTAAAAATGTGTTTGATTGGCTGGTGCACACGTTTAACTAAACCTTGTGTATTTTCCCTGGCAACTCTACAGAGAATCTCTCATCTGACGCTTCCTGAAGTCCATCTAACGCTTTGAGATCTGAATTCTCAGAGATTCCTCTTGACATAGACTCTCCTCCGAGAAGCGGCTGGGACGGCTAGGCTGGGTTTGCCCGAGGTACAGGGCGCTGCCAACACCCGTGACTCCTTTTTGTGAGAACACAGGCGTCGAGGCAGGGCTTTGCTTGAGAAACCTAAGCGAAGTCTTTCTCTTTTGCAGTTGTTGGGTATCTCAAAGGCACACATAGGTAAAATAGTGACGCAGTGCATGCATGCCATGAACTTACCCACAGGCGGGCACTCGGCTGGCTTGGTGGACAGGAGTGGGCAGTGTGGGTATTTGTTTGGCCGTCTGCTAACTCAGTGGTTTGAACCCTGGCTGCAGCAGAGGATCACCTGAGAGCTTTTTAACTCTCAGCCCCTGCCCACTTCCCAGATCAGTTAAACCACGGTCCCTGGCAGGAGAGTCAGACAGCAGAAGTGTCCAGACCTGGCCTGGCTTCTCCACTGTGCTTCCAGGGTGAGAACCGGTGTCCCAGGTGACGATGACAAACTGAGAGAAGCCTTTTGAGTGCTGACCCCTGACATTCATTCCTCTCTGAACCATGCCGCGTACTCTCCCTGACTGTATTGTTTAAGGTTGCATTATATTTACTATGCTGTGTCGTTTTGTCATAGTGAACCATTGATTGCAAAGTTTAAAAATAATCTTGCTGAGTATTTAGCTCAGCAGTGTAACTGCCTGCCTGGAGAGCGCGAGGTCATGAGCTCGATCCCTGGTACCAAAAATAAATCAATAAATAAAAATAATCTCACCTGGCTTCAGTTACGTCACAGACTCAGTATTAATTGCCTAAATGCCTATAATTTGCTTTTGTTTTTAAAACATTTCTTTGTCATATATGAATCACTGTTGCAAATCAAGAAAAAAAGAACAACCCTATTGCAAAATAAAGACAGGGACCAACTTTTTGCTTAAAAAAAAAAACCCAAATGATGACAATGTTTAGACTCATTGGTAAATCTGAACATAAAAAGTAAAAAGAAAAATGTGATTAAAAAGAAAAATGCACATTAAAATAAAAATTTAAATTATAACAAAATGCCATTTTTCACTCTCGAGATAGCAAAATTAGAAAGTCCAAGATGTAGGAAAGCAACAGAAACTCTTTTATGTTTTTTGAGGGATTTTGCTTTTTGTTTTTGCCTTGGATTTTTGATTGTTTGAGACAGAGTCTTGCTGTATAGTTCAGCCTGGCCTTGAACTCGTATCTATCCTCCTGCCTCAGCCTCCTGAATGCTGGGATTACAAGTGCAGGACTCCACACCCAGGCTCATATATAAGACCCTACATAAGTTGTAAATCTATGAGAAAAATTAAGACAGTGATGGACAATCAGTTCAGGGTAAGGGTCACTTCAAGAGGGGCAGAGCAAAGGGAGAGGACAGGGGAGCAGACTTCCCCGCCCTGTACATGGGCGAATGATGACTACACAAGTGTTTAGATTATTATTATTATTATTATTATTACTATTTTGTATGCTTTGCATATCTTCTATTGTATATACACATATGACCTTTATATCACATATGAAATATTCCACACTATTAAAATTAGACAACTAAAAATAGAACAAATGTTTCTTTGTGATTTTCTTATTCCTTTCTGGGCCTGCTTCTCCGTCTCAGGTGATGAACCAGCCCCAGCGTGAGCTGCTCTTAGCCACGCCCAAGGACGCTCTAGGGCAGTGTTGGACCTGACTCCGCATGCCCGGCTCTCACTGGTCAGGGCGGCAGCAGGCTTTTGTATTTTTCCAAAGTACCTGGCATGAGTCTAGGTCTGGCCAATGCAGAAAGCCAGTATTTTAAATACTGTCCCAGGGAGCTTTTCAAAAACACAGATAATGGACTCTGGTGAATGAAATCAAAAGAATTTTGAGATGCCAGAGCAGAAAGGTGTCAAGCAGCCCTCAGATTCGTGGATATTAACAAGGCGATCCTGGCAGCCAGGAGCTGCTGACGGTAAGATAAGTATGCCCCGATGTTTTCAGCCACTTTCTCTGCCACATTTCAGTGCCGTTTGGTGGCTCCTAGAAGGGCCCTAAAAAGCCACGTGAGAGGTGGCCAAGCCGTCACTCATCTAAAGCGAAAGACAGAGGATCTCTGGTAGATGCTGCAGAATCCCCCGCCCTCTCTAGCGTCCTGCCGCGGCCCTCTGTGCTCTGTGGTGAAGCACCACCGGCTGCCCCAGGTGTGAACGGGAGCAACTTGCTTCTCACAGTGCTCAGGAAGGGAGTCCACGGTCCGAGTGACAGCAGGGAGGGCCCGGTCGCCACCTGCAAGGTGGAGTCTTGTGGCTGCATCTTCTGGGGTGAGGGACAATGTGTCCTTGCCCAGCAGAGGGGACAGAAGGCAGAAAGGGCCTATGAGAGGGACACATAATCCACCAACGAGGGCAGAGTCCTTCCTAAGGCCACACGTCTCCCCACTGTCACACAGGCGACTCTGCTGTAGCAGGAATTAGAGTAACAACACTGAAGCCATCGGATGTCACGCCACGCTTCCCGGTACTTGGCCCAGAGCTGCTGGCGTTTCATTTAACTCTAGGATCTTGAGTCTTCAACCTGCCTGGATACGGGTATTCATTTCGAGTGACATTTCATGGTGGGTCACACAAACGCTGAGTTCATTGGACTGTGATGACCGTTTGGTGGAAATCTGACTTTTCACCATGATGGACTTGAGTTACCCAACACCGGTTACCCACAGTCCTGGAGCCGCCACCAAGCACAGCTACGCGCTCGCCTTAAACCTGGCTCCTCTGTGTCACCTGCCGTCAGCTGCAGCGCTGGGTTTAGCTGTGCGCTTACCGTTTCATTGTGAGGTCTACAGCTCACACGTCAAGGCGAGCACAAGGACTCGTCTAACCATTTCCTACCTCGCAACTTGACCATCCTCAGTGTTATGCAGTGTTGGTGCCTGTTTTTCACCATCAAAACCCAGCAGATATCGTTAGTCTGGCTGTCTCCCATTTCCTACTGTTTCCCCTTTTCTCCAGAGGTGACCCCGTCCTGACCATAGTGTTTGTCACAAATATTTTGTGCTTTTATTGCAGATGTGTGTGTCTATTAGGTAATAGCTTTTTAAATTTTTAACTTTGTCTAAATGTCTAAATAATTATATCCTCTTATCTATCTATGCCTTAGTTTTTGTTTTTGTTTTGTTTGTTTGTTTGTTTGGCCTTCTTGAGATGGTCTCACTGTGCAGTTCAGATTGGCCTTGAGCTCACTCTGTAGCCCAGTCTGGCCTCAAACTCATAGCGATCCTCCTGCCTCGGCCGCCCGAGTATGCCGCCATGTCTGGCTTATGCCTTACATTTTTATTGGAACTTAAGTTTCTGAGATTTATTGATGATACATTTAGATGTGTTTCTTCTAATTACTACATAATATTCAATTCATGAGTACACCAAAATGCAGTTTTTATTGTGCAGAGGTAGACATTTGGGTCTTTTTTTCAAATGGCTTACTATGGCAAAGCTACTGTGCATATTCTTGTACACATCTCTATGTGCACAGATATGATGGGGTTTTATTCCTTAGTTATGTCTTTTCATATGACTGGTATCACTAGGAAGCAAAGGAAAAGCAGAACCACGCCAATAGTCTAACGCTTGACAACATAATCAACTTTAAAACAATACTATAATATCACACAGATATTTTGAATTTGTGACCCTATGCAAAATCCTGGGGGCTTCCTTCATGGAGATGGGCGTCTCAGTTCTGAACCACAGCAGAATTCCTCAGGGGAACTGCAAAAGAGGTTAACGTGGGGTGGAGTGAAAGACCAGTTTTACCCTCTCTCTGTTTACGTGACATACAGCTGCTCAGGCTCGGCCCAGTTTATGGGTCCACTTCCACAAAGCTGAAGGCCACTGACCACATTATTTACCACTGCACTTAATATGAGTTCTTATTAAAAGTATGCACGTTATCCTGTTACTGCTCTGGAGGGACTAATCACACGTACGTTTGTAGTGATTCTGGTTTTGTTCTATGCGTTGAGCGATGAGAGGTGCTGGGGTGTCCAAGTCCTCAGAAAACCTAGAGAACCAGAAGGAAGAAGGCTTAGGACCAGCTGCAGCGGGATTTGGGCGGCTAAGATGGAGTTTTGATTTTTCTCCCTCACTGATACCCAGGAAATGCTTGTCTCCTGCTGTGGATGAATAATTCTGGAGGACTATGGATCATGCTGAAGAAAATGAAATCCTCGCAGCAACTCAGAGGTACTATGTGGAAAGGCCAATTTTCAGCCATCCTGTCCTGCAGGAGAGACTCCACGAGAAGGACAAAGTTTCGGACTCCATCGGGGACAAGCTGAAACGGGCATTCACGTGCGTTGTCTTCTAAGCTTTTGCCTTCATTGTGTCTTTCCGGTATGAAAGAAGCAAGGTCAGCTGTGTGCGGAAGCCTGTTGGGCGGATGGAGGGGAGACGCGTGGTGGTGCTATTGGTGTGCGGAGCTGCCCGCAGTGATCCGGGTTCGTCACTGGATTGGGCACAGCTTTGTCATCCGGGTCACTGTGTTCCGACCTCTCTGTCTCTACCCATCTCTGCCTCCGCCAGTCTGTTTTCCTTCTCACTTGTGGACGTGGGCAAGCGAGGATGCCTTTATGACTCTGTGTCTTTCTTTGTCTTGCCAGATGTACTCCAAAAAAAATAAGAAACATTATTTATATGTTCCTGCCTATCACAAAGTGGCTGCCAGCGTATAAATTCAAGGAGTACGTGCTGGGCGACCTGGTTTCAGGCATAAGCACTGGAGTGCTCCAGCTTCCCCAAGGTTGGTGAGCACACGGCTGGCTGCCTTCCTGCCTCCCTCCCTCGCTCGCTCCTCCCTTCTTTACTTCCTTCTATTCTTTTCTCTTTTTTTTCTTCCTTCTTTTCTTCACTGACCTTGCCTCAAACATGTGCTTGACCTTTTTATCATGACTGCAAATGAATAGTTTTTGCCGCATGATTGTGGAACCCTTCGCCTGTCTAAAGGAGTTCGGAAAGCTCAGCCCTGAAACTCTGCACGGTAGGGAATAGCCGTGCCACTCTGCAGCCCACTAGGCCACTGTGGGGTCACAGGACCTTAGCCCTTGCTAGGTCAGACACTCTATCAACGTATTGTGAAGCTCTTGGCTTCTAAGTCCAGGTTCTAATTACAAATGCCGTGAGTACTAAATTCCTTTGCAGCTCTGTGATTTTACATGAGCTATAAACGTAAGGAAATATTCATTTGTTCTCCTACACGCTGTGTATGTTTTAAGCAGCCCTCTTGGCCTCTTTATCCACAGGAGCTAAACACCCCATCAGGGAGTGACACGAAGCAGCTAAGGGATTTATTCATTGTAATTAACGTTAGGAGGAAAGCACAAGAGACAGTGAAGTAACAGGTAGAGGGCTAGGCCGGGAAGAGAAGCCACCACAGGAAGTCCTTTGGAGACTTGAGACATAGGCAGAAGGCACAGCGCATGGGAAGGCGCCGGGTGGGAGGGCTGAGTGTGGCTGGCCAGCTGGCGGAAAGGAGGGCAGGGAGCTGGGTGAAGGGTGGGGAGGTGGGTGCCGGGGGTCTTCGCTGCTCAGGCCACTTCTGGATTTCACCCTGAGTGCAGGGAAAGCTGTCTGTGTGCCGCTGTCAGGATGGACATGGCCCTCACGTGTCCACAGAGAACATTTATCACAGAATGAAAATGAGCCCTGGCGTGAACTGGGTGCTGGCTCGTCCTCTTACCAATGCCCCCCTCTGGCGAAAGCAAACCCCTGCACCTTCCATCGGTGCCCTGTGGACTTGCAATCGCTCCAAGACATGGTCTCCTAAGAGTCGGGACAGTGTGAGCCGCGGGAGTTGCAGAACGGGGGATCTTGTGACCCACATGGATCAAGTTTTCTGGACAAAACGCCAAGCTTTCCCACTGGCAACCCGGGCACCCCAGAAGGCCCCTGGCGTGGCTCCCATGCACCACGTGGAACTCGCACCTTCCAACATAGGGGCCAGAGGCGGGGTGCAGGTGCAGGCGTCACATGGACCAGCAGTGGACAATGGAGGCCGCTCACAGCAGAGGGCTCCCCAGGGGCCCATGGGACGCACCGCTAGAGCAGGAGCACCTTCGCATGGACACTGAGCTGCAAGCGCACCTGCCAAAGCAAAAGGCTCCACGGCCCTGGCCTGCTTGTGCAGAACTAGAGCAGGGGAAAGCCGTGCACGGCCCACGGGCGATGGACAGGGAAGACCGCACTGGCCCAGCCGTGCAGGCGCAAGGCCCCATGCGGGATCGGGGCAAAGACCGGGCAGAGCAGACGCATGGGGCGTGGGAAAGAGGGTGGCAGGGTGGAAGGGGACGCGCAGGGCCGAGCACCACCCCTGGCCGCCTAACTCTCCTCTCCGCTCTCCACCCACAGGCCTGGCCTTCGCGATGCTGGCCGCTGTGCCGCCCGTGTTCGGCCTGTACTCCTCCTTCTACCCTGTGATCATGTACTGCTTCCTGGGCACCTCCAGGCACATATCCATCGGTAAAGCTATTCTCTGGCTTGGTATTCCAGTCCCTTCCCCGCTGGGGTCCCACGCTTCATCACGTGCCAGGGGAATAGTGTGAATAACTTTTGTTACACACAGTAGGTGCTTTAGCGAAGCTTCGTGGTGCACACCTGTAATCCTAGCCGTAGGGAGGCTGAGGCAGGAAGATCACCACAAGTTCTGGTCTACATAGAAAGACTCTGTCTTTAAAACAAAACAAAAGAAATGAACAGGTCTTTAAGCAATACACTCCTCCCAAGACTTCTGGGGTTAATAACACTTTTATACCCTTGGCATAATAAAAAGGGACAATTTGTATAGCATAGCAGCTGTTACAATCTGTGAAATAAGTGGTTCATTTCCTAATAAAATTACTCTCATCTTTCTTTCTTTCTTTGCATTCCTATTACTATGCTTGTGTATAATTTTCATCATATTTTAGTCTCTGAATTGTACATATTTTCTCTTTCACCGTTTCAGATCAGATGCATGTGAATTTCACAATAGCGTTTCACAATAGTGTTTCAGGTTCCACAAACACAGTGATTCAGGTAGCTACTGCTGGGTAACAAATGGCCCTCAAGATACCAACTTGTATTATGGATCAGTTAAAATTTTTAATTAAAAATGTATAGAAAATATGACAATCCTTTTATCTGCCCCCTCTTGCAGTCAGGACTTGGGAAGAGCTGGTGGGCATTTCCTCCCATCTCTCTTCTTCCTCTCTTCTGTTCCTTTCCCTCTCTCCTTCCGTGTAGTCCCAGGAACTCTCCCCATATGGTGGCCCAGGCTCCTGTGTAAAGTTTACAGCTCTCAGGTAGATGCTGTGTCACATCTTTGCTTCCCTCTGAAAGTCCTTTTGATTGCTAGCACATCTCAGGCCCACCCGGATTAGAGAGAGAGGCCCTGGACTCTGCCTTTCCATGAGGAGATGTCCAAGTGCAGGGGAGGTGCTGCTGTGGTCCTGTTGGCAGAGCCCGGGCTGCACACCTGGGGCAGGACACTGGGGAGGACCTTGCAGGGGTGACCTGTGCGCCTCGCCTGTGTCTCTCGGCATACTGGCCACATCCCCCGTGGACATAATGGAGTTGGCTGTGCCCATCTCCTCAGCTACACTGGGTAGTTTCCATGCGCCCCAGATAAGATTGATCCTGCTTCACCATTCCAGGTCCTTTTGCCGTTATTAGCTTGATGATCGGTGGCGTGGCTGTTCGATTAGTACCAGATGACATAGTCCTTCCAGGGGGAGTCAACATGACCAACGGTACGGAAGCCAGGGACGCCCTGAGGGTGAAGGTCGCCATGTCTGTGACCTTGCTCTCGGGAATCATTCAGGTAAGCCCAGGGCGGACACACGGGGCTGGTCTGTTCTCCTCTGACACATCTCCAGAGCACTCCTGGCTGGTCTTACCCGATGGGCAGCCAGCCAGACTCTAGAGCTGAGCAGTCGGGAGGCTGAGGCAGGAGGAGGATGGCTGTGAGTTCAAGGCCAGCCTGGGCTACCCAGCAAGACCCTGTCTCCAAAAGTAAAAACTTCAAAGAGAGGTTCAAGCACAGCAGTCCAACTCAAGGCCTTATTTACAACAGGAGAGGCAGGCAAGCTTTGGCTGGGCGCTTCATGATCCCAAAAGCAAGTGCAACCTGAAGAGGCAGGGTCAGTTAGGACTGGTTAGGACTGGAGGAGGACATCCCTTATCTGCTTGGCCAGAATGGCCAGGAGACACAGGACCAAGCGTGCCTCTAGCTCCAGGGGACTCAAGGCGTGAGTGTGACCCATGCCTGTGACACCTGCAGACGGCCACTGCCTTCTCTGCAGCCAGTGACTGGTTTCTTAGCTGCAGGTTCGAGTCCTCAGTGTTAGAAACAGGCCAGAAGGAACTTTTATGCATTTTCTGTTGGGTTTAACTTCCTAACCGCTCATGTGATTTGTTTCTGCTTTGCCATTAACACCCCAGTTCTGCCTGGGCGTGTGCAGGTTCGGGTTCGTGGCCATCTACCTCACGGAGCCGCTGGTGCGTGGCTTCACCACGGCCGCCGCCGTGCACGTCTTCACCTCCATGCTCAAGTACCTGTTCGGGGTGAAGACCAAGCGGCACAGCGGCATCTTCTCGGTGGTGTATGTGAGTAGCGGCTTCCAGCTCCGCCACGCTGTCTTCTGCCTCTTCCCTTCTCTGGGCCCCATTTTCTGGCTTTCCAAGAAACTTCTCTGCAAGACTTAGTTATTCTAGAAAGACAATTACAGGGAAGCCCGAGCCTGAAAACACCATTTTAGTGATTTATAGACTCTGATGACTTCACCAAGAATTCTTCGTAACACCACCGTCACCCTAACAAGGCCCCTTCTTTCTGTTTTGCCTGCCTGAGTGGATAATTTTTGAGAGAGATATATTTTCCTGCTACGTTTTTCAATTACTTGTTAATGTCCAAAACAAACAACCCATCCTCACCAAAAAAAAAAAAAAAAAACCAAAAGCCATAATTCCATCTTAAGAAAAACACAAGTAAGGCAGGCAGGCATGGTGACACCTGCATGCAATCCCAGCATTCTGGGAGGCTGAAACAAGAGGGCTGCTAGTTCAAGACCAACCTGGGAAACTTAGCAACTTAGTGAGATCCGGTCTCAAAATTAAAATTGTTTAAAATGGCCGAGGAAGTAATTCAGTTCATGGGCCCTGGGTTCAATTCACAGCACTGTCCTCTCCCCCCACCTCAAAAAAAAAAACTATAAAACATTAAACAAACACAGCCAACCCAGATTAATCTAATAAAAGAGGCACAGACTCTGCATTCAACTCAGAGAAAATTTACTTGCAAGCACATAGCAATCAAGTAATGTGAGAGCAAGCACAAATTCTAAAGATGCAGTGTTTTTCACACAGTGCAGCATAAACGGAAATCCATGACTGAATATAGTCTTAAACTCCCGCACATTCTGAAGGTGAAGACACATTTCTAAATGACCCAGAGATGAAGAGGAAATGATGAAGAGGTTAAGACTTGGGAGATGCCGTCACCATGCCCGGCACTAGGGGGCAGCAGTGAGCCGAGCAGATGTCACCCTGCCCCCTCCAGCTCCCAGTGCCGGGCGGGGATGGGGGTGCTTAATAAATCATCATTTGCAGGAGTGTGTAATTAATTGTAAATTACATCAAGTGCTATGAAAAGAAGGCGCAGGCTATTCTGCAGGGAAAAAGCCTAGGAAAGTCACATTGAGAACACATCACATTTGAGTCCTTGGTTGATTAGGATGGAAACAAGGCCCAAGACTGTTCCCTAAATACCTACTTTATTAGTTTCCAATAATTGCTGGTGACAGACTTCTGACGCTGAGGGGCCTCAAACCCCTTGTCATAATGAAAATGCAACATACAGGTCCCACTGAGAGTGCTCTAGACATCAGCAGGGTCGACAGGAAGGGGTACGTGGCTTCGACAGGCAGGTGTGGGCTTTGGGTGGCAGAAAAAGACTGCCCTAGGACACAACCAAGTGGCTACACACACGCGCACACACACACATGCACACACTCACAGCCTCCAGCTCCTTCCCAAACTTATCCCCTGGCCTGCAAGGCCCACCTGACTTCCTTCTTCTGCTGATGATAATGTCTTTCTCTCTCGCTGTCTCCCTAAAAGCTTTTCTGTGCATTTCTCTGGAAGTTTTTTGCTGATATTAATCCACAATTCTTTTCCTAACAGTCACAGCTCAGCATCAGGGCTATTTTTCTGAATGTTATAACACTACAGCAAAACACTAGCATATCAAAAAAACACCCTAAAATTGGCAAATAAGAACTGCTATTATGGAGTTGTATAAGGTAAAAATGCCTGGTGGGCCAAGCGTGGTGGCACATGCCTGTAATCTCAGAATTTGGGAGGTTGAGGAAGGAGAATCACTGTAAGTTTGAGACCAGCCTGGGCCACATAGTGAGTTTAAGTCCAGCCTGAACTACAGAGTCAAACTGTGTCTAAAAAAGACTAAAGAAAAAAAATGCCTGGAAGACAGTATAAAGAAAGAAACTTCAATCTGAGAACATTTGTGTGTGTGTGTGTGTGTGTGTGTGTGTGTGTGAATGTGTGTGCGCGCAGTTCTGAGGCTGGAGCCAGGGCCTTGCACATGGTAAGCACACACTCAGCCACTGAACAGCAGCTCCAGCCTGCCCTGTTGAATTTTAAGTCTCAGCTCTTTATTTATTTTTTATTTTTTTATTGTGGTATATAACGAAATGTATCCCTGTATTTTTTGAGCGTGCAATTCAGTGGTGATAAGTGCATTCACAGGGTCGTACAGCCAGTGGCCCCTGAGCATTTCCAGAATGTCTTCCTCATGACAAACAGAAGCTCCAGGCCACTAGCCGCGCCCCACCTCTGTGCCGCCCCGTCTCTCTGAGCTGCCTGTTCTAGGAACCGCGTACTTGTCGCGTCGGGCAATGCAGGGCTGTTTCTTGGTGTAAACTCCCGTGTTCACTGTGTTACAGAGTACAGTTGCTGTGTTGCAGAATGTTAAAAACCTCAACGTGTGTTCCCTAGGCGTCGGGCTGATGGTTTTTGGTTTGCTGTTGGGGGGCAAGGAGTTTAATGAGAGATTTAAAGAGAAATTGCCAGCGCCCATTCCCCTAGAGTTCTTTGCGGTAAGTCCTACCTGGGGAAGACCTGCCAGCTCCCGGGACCCCGCGCTCCTGTTTCTGGGAGGGATTTTGAAGTGGATGCAAGAGGGAGGGGAAGGGAAAGGGTCTTCTCAGTTCTGCCACAAGAGCTAACAGAAACAAAAAAAAAAAGAAACAGCAGTAAGACATAAACACAGATGACTTAAAATGTAGGTGAAAATCATGCATACAATTTTACCATTATCTCTGAGTTATAGGATTGTACAGGATTTATTTTCTTCGGTAATGAACACATATTAGCTTACTAACCCAAGAAAAATAAAGTTTTCATTTAGAGAAGAGTGAAAGACAAATGTTCCCAAACTTTCCCAGCTCCCTGGCACTCTGAAGCCAAAAGAACAGCTCACCCTCTTACTAAGTAGTTGAGTCCAAACACCTTAGTACATATTTATAAGAATATGGTAGTGTTCTATGGACATAGGCACACAAATTCAGCCCCCAAAAAAGTATGTTACTATTTTCTTAAATAACCGCAGTAGCGAGCGCTTGGAATCTGATTGGACATCGCTACCTTCATCTCCCGTTCACATGGAATTTTCAAAGCACAGCAGCCACCGAACATGAAGCTTTGCATAGAGGCCACTATTGTCAGCAGCTTGATGTTCAAGCTGAGAACCACCTCAGGCCAGAGGTCTGCACGGTGTCCAAGAGGTGGCGCTGTGTCCCTGAAACCTTTAAAAGTCCCTGTGAGTTCCCTTTGGCATTCTGGGGCTGCTAGGATGCACAGTTTTGGGTGCCTCAAAAAGAGAGAAATGAAAGCTGTATTTGTGTCTGATCCAAAGTTAGGGGAAAAGCCAACCCCTTCTTTTTTCTTTGCTTTCGTTTGCTTGTATCTCGCCAGTGCCCTTCGGGACGAGAGTATTAGGACTCAAACCCAGGGCCTCCTGTAAGGCAAGAGCCTGCCATGTATGAGCCACGTCTCCGGGCACCATCAGTACCTCTTAACGCGTTGCTTTCTGTTTTTTGGTTTTGTGGTTTCATTTAAAGATGTTCTCTCCCATTCCCAAGCCCCTCCTCTGGCTGGGACTGGACCCAGGGTTCCTGGTTCTCTCTGCAGCATGGCGATCTGAGCACCTTTGCAGTTGGGAGTCCAGAGGGCCTGTTTGTGAAGGACAGCGTCCAGGCGCCTTGCCCACCTGAGAGGGCGTTTTAGTTCTGTGCAAAACTCCCTGTGAAGATTCCTTTACGTTTCTCGGGCCTGTGCTTCCCCAGAACTCTATTGCTGAAATTACAGTCTTTTAAAATCTTCCTAAACTTCTGAGTTAAGCCTTAAGCTCTCCATCTAGCAGAGAAAGCAGAAGCCATGCTGAAAAGTTTGGGGACAGAGTCTTTGTAGTATTCGTTAAGCAAAAACAAAAAGTTTTTTAAAATCTTAAAAATATGTTTTCAGTTTTGCTTTCTATTTTTCATTACATGTGTTTGTGTCACTAGGAGAACAAAGGTTTCATCACTTATCACCATATAAAACTAACATTCCAGAAACTTGATCCATATTTATGTTGTGAATTTAAATATTCTAGATCTGGGCCCAGGGATATAGTTCAGTGGCATAAGCACTTGCCTGGCAAGTGCAAGGTCCTGAGTTTGATTCCTAGTACCAAAAAAATAATAATGAATATTCTGGACACTCTCCCTGGCTGAGATGCACCAAAAAATGCAATTAAGGGTGACAAACACAATTGCCATGAACAGGAAAGGGACTGAAAATACGCTTGGCCCTGGTCTCTGGGCTGCAGTCTCTGGCAGTAAGATTAGCTCCTTATCACTGGGCGCTCCTGCAGGGGACTGGTCCTCTTCCTAGTCACCGCTAAGTCCTTCTCTCCTGGAGCACCCATTCAAAAAGCTCCATGCACCACAGCTACTGGGGATATAGCAGGTCATCGTCATAACTTGCTGTGTCCTGCATTGAAGGTCACACTTTATACCTGGGGAGAATGAATCCAGGAGGCCCCGGGGACAGTGTGCCACTCACCTGGAGGAGATGCCTGCAGGTGGGGGCGGGGCACTGACTGCATTCCGCTGCTGACCTACAAGCTGGGTCATGCGGTGGATTCTAAAAAGTCACTGCCCCACCCCCACCATGCACATTTCTACCAACTGAAAATCAAGGCCAATCTCCATGCCCAGCCCTCAGCAAGGAACAGAAGCAAGGGCCTTCCAGAACAATCCCAGGCCTTTAGAAAATAGTATTGCCCACTTCAGTTATGTGGGGCAGAGTCACAGAAGTTAGAATTACTGGACGTTGACAATAACTCCTTCTTTTTAGTCCGAGCCTTCAAAATGAGACTAAACCATGGGTGGCAGTAATGCCTGTAATCTCAGAACACAGGAGGCTGAGGCAGGAGGATCAAGAATTGGAAGCCTGTCTGGGATACCTTGTTGAGACCATGTCTCTAACACACATGCACACGCACACTCATGCACACACACACTATGTGCATGCGCAATGACAAAGCTAGAATAGATTTGCCTTGCTTAACAAATTCTTTGAAGCTTATTCATGTAACATTTGAATATTGATGTCTAAAGCTGCGGCTGGGTTTGTGTATGTTTTAGGTGGTCATGGGAACTGGCATCTCAGCTGGATTTAACCTGCAAGAATCCTACAACGTGGACGTGGTTGGAACACTTCCTCTGGGGTAGGAAAATAGTTCCAGTAACAGAGTGACTTGAATAATCAGTGGACCTGTTGTTTCTAACTCCTGCAATAGAGCTCTTGCAACGAAAAGTAATTTTTTCTACCTGTCGAGTGGGGTGGGTGAGGGTTGGGGGGATTTAAGAATCCGTGGCATGTGTATGCATTTGCTGTGGTTTTTAAACAGTTATTACCTTCATCACTGTTAACTGTATAGTTCAACACTATTTAATATATTCAAATTGTTGTAAAACAGATCTCTGAGATTTCCTCATCGTACAAATCAGAAATTCTACATCCTTTCTCCATCCCCCAACCCTGTAGTTTCCATTTATCTTCCTGGTCCCAAGAATTTGACCTTTCTAGACACCTCGTACTAGTGAACAGTATTTGTCTTTTTGTTACGGCTAATTTCACTTAAGGGCCTCAAGTTTGACCCGTGTAGGACATAACAGTGTTTCCTTCCTTTTTTACGGTTGAGCAGTGTCCCACTGTATGTATATGGTATATTTCATTTCTGCATTCACCCAGTGGTGAGCATCTGCATTTGCCTCGTGGCTGTTGTGAAACGTGCTGCTATGGACACGGTGGTGCCAATATGTCTTTTAGATCCTGCTTTCAATTCTTTGGGGTGTACTTCACAAAGTGAGGTTGTCGGATGCTGTGGCATTTCCATTTATGCTATGGAGGCTTTAGGAGACCCCGTACTCTTTTTCCTTAGCAGATACACAAACGTTATAACACCATTCACTGTGGAGAATGTTTTATTGTGTTTCATCTTCTTAAGGGTTAGGGTTAGCAGCCAGCCTCTGTTCCAGACAGGGGCATTGAAGGTTCTGAGGCTCCTTACTTGAATTTTCTGGTCTCAGATGACAGGGGATGGAACAGAGCACCATGAGTAGTAACACAGTGAAACCTGTTAGTAACACTTAGGGAAACCAGGAGAATAACTTCCAGAGCAGTGACCCGGATGTAATCTACACGCTATGAACACATCTTCAGGGGGCGTGGTCACACGTAGATGGAGTTGGGTCTGCGCAGGCGCAGTAGGCTAACTTAAGGCTCCAGGCACCAGGTCTCCGGGCTACAGCTCTGCACCACGGGAGATTCCAGCTGTGCCCTGCAGTCAAGTGGCCTCAGTCAGCGGTGCATGCTTCTTAGGGTAGCTTGTGAGCCATCTTTTCTGAAAAACAACTTTTAGGGGAGTTCAGGGTGCTGATGGGAAGACAGCACCGCATCCTGTCTTCTCAACCCCTGTGCCTGAAGAAACTTGCACTGGCTTTAAACTTCTAAGCAATGAGTGGGGGTTGCAAACATGTTCCATAGTATTCATTGTAAAGCAACGAGACAGTAATAACCGCTCACTTTTCAGATGGAGCTTTCAAGGAACCGCAAGTTAAGGAGCTGGGAGTTGGGTGGTTCTCTGTCCTTCTGCATTGTTCTGATGTTTTATTCTCTCTTCTAGTTTATTCTTGACAACTCTGTAGCAAAAGCATCCCTGCTCTAGGGATGTGCCTGGGTTTTGGAGGTTGATAGAATCAAGGGAGTGAGACACTGTACTTGTAATGGGTCACAGGCCCTGAAGCCACTGCCCTTTGTACTGTGGTGATCTCTGGCTCACTGTGAAAACAGTGAAATAAGGGTTGGGACATATTAGAGAGACGTAAGTGAGGTTAGTGACGGTGCTGAGTCTCAGCTGGGACCTAGAACTAGTCTTTAGATACTTGGTTAAGTCCTCTTTCCCTTACCTCAGCCCTGGGTCTCTAACTCAGTCACATGGTAAGGAATCACCTCTGATTGGATCCAACAGATAATCCTATTCGGTTACTAGTTACACATAATTTGGCTAAGTGGGAAATTCTTGCACGTAGATTGCTCCTTTTGAAAATATACTGATAGGGGCTGAGGATATAGCTCAGTGATACAAGTGCAAGATCCTGAGTTCCATTCCTGATACCAAAAAAATAAAAAAATACACTGATACATTGAAATTCACGTATCACCATAATCCCTGGGCAATGTCTTCCTTTCCCTGTTGTGTTGTCCTCAAGTGTGTTTCTTTGCTTCTCTATACAACAAGTAAATTTTAACACAAACAAATAAAACAAAAAAAAAACCCAACATTTTACCTATCTAGAACTTGGCTAATGAGAAACCTTATCTTTCTGGACTTTACCCAGAACCAAGCAAGTAACCAATACCTACCTGATTATCTACATGCAATCATACTGTTTCTCTTATCTGTGACTCCTATTCATCTATAGCAAAGTGCCCCAAAACAGCACCACTCTTTGCTCATAATTCTTCAGCCTAAATTGCACTCGGTGGTGACTTCTCACACCCCACACTGGAGGTGTGGCCTGGGGTGGGGGCTTGGGCTGGGGTTTGAGAAGGCTCCAGACTCCTCTGTGCCTCGGCTGGCCTGGCTGGAGCAGCTGGGAGCTGGCCTGGCATCTTGTCTGCACTTGGTGTCTCCGGCAGGACAGCCAGAGTGCTTTACCTGGTGGCTGAGGGCTGCACTAACGGACAAACAGAGAATTTGCTGGGCCTCCTGTGTGACATCACTTCCACCTCATTCTCTTGATCACAGCAAAGCAAGGCCAGCCTGGACTCAGCAGGGGAAATGCTGTGCTTCTGAAGGGAACTGCACTCTGTTGACCCTGCACAGATGCATGCACACTGCAGGGCCAGGCAGAGGCCCTGACTCTCCAGACCCCTGTCCAGGCTACATGGAGCCTTCCTGACCTCATTCCAGAGTCCGCCTTTTCTTCCATTCTCATTCCTCAGGCCCACTCCTGCTGCTAGGCCTTCCCTGCTGGCCGAGTTTCTGCAGCAAAGTGCAAGAGAAAGATGATGGCTTGGTAGTCAGACCTCCTTAGGAAAATCACTTACCCACTGAAAACATCTCTTTTTCCACCTATAAATTGAGATTCTAAGGACACTTACCTAACAGGACTGTGTGGCCTGCAGTTTACAATCTAACCTTAAAGACACCAGGTTCCTTTCCTGTCCCCCTCCCTGCCCCATCCTGACCCCAGAATTTGATGAAATGTCTCTCCTGTCCCTTTGCTATGATGTCGAGAGAGGCAGCTCTTTGGAGTCATTTAAATGACTTGTTTGATTTGGGACAAGTTGTTTAACCTAACTGTGCCTCATTTTCTCCTCTATAAAACTGGGATTACAAGGATGCCTCACTCGCAGGACTACTAGAAGGAATTAAATAAGCAGAGAATCTGGCACAGAGGAAGCACCTAATAAATGGTTGTGCTTGTAGTATTGTTATGGGGTAGCACTTACATGATTGCCATCATTACCCAACCCATTGCCTTGAATTGGAGCAGGATCAGGATGCCTCTGAAAAACCTTGTTTCTCTTTCCCTGTAACAGTGTGGGTGGGCTGGGGATACAGCTCAGCGGCACAGTGCCTACCTGGCAAGTTCGAGGTTGTAAGTTCAATTCCTGGTACCAAACGATAACAACAAAAAACAATCTGGACAATCCCTATTACGTTTCTTTAGGGCAAGGGGCCTCAAATTGCAAGAACCAACAAAAACTGAGTTCCCCTTTGTGGGGTTCCAGGGGTCCTCCAGCTCCCCAGAATTCCCCAGTGAGACCCAGGAAGTGTGATCTGTACTGCTCCTTCCTCATGTTAGAGCTGGACTGGAGGGACCAGTGACACAGGAAGAGCTAGTACACTCAGGAGCCCTCCCTTCTGATGTGAGCAGTGTTACAAGGACAGTAGTTTTCCTCTGAGTTAGCCCATGTTCAATGCCCTCCCCTCCCCAAGACGGGTTCAGGTGTCTTGTGGCATCTGAGTCCCTGGTGGACCCTCCCCTCTCCTTTGTCTGTGTCTTACTTACCACTGACATCAGGGTGCCCTTGGTATGAGGTTTCTTCTTTTATAAATAAAAGGGCACCTGATCCCTGCTGATCAACTGCCCAGTGTGCCAGCCAGGCTTGCAGTTTGGGTCTGAAAAGCCCTTCTCTAGGTCAAGGAGGGACCTTGTGTTTGCCAAAACAGAGCAAACAAGTTCGTGTTCCCAGCTTCTGGTGAGTCTGCCTCATTTGCAGTCAGTGCCCTTCCGGAAAGCCCCCCTCTGGTGCTGTTGTGCTTTTCTCCCTAGTGATCACAGGCTTGAGTGACAGTCGGCTTAACTTTCAGACTATTGCCTCCAGCCAACCCGGACACCAGCCTCTTCCACCTTGTGTATGTGGACGCCATCGCCATCGCCATTGTTGGATTCTCAGTGACCATCTCAATGGCCAAGACCTTGGCCAACAAACATGGCTACCAGGTTGATGGCAATCAGGTAAAAACCATCAGTACCCTGCAGGTGCTTCCCAGTGGCACATTCATCGAGCCTTTATACAAGAAAGCAAGTGAACTCAGTTTATCTTTGGTGGTAGAAGAGCCTTTGAATGCATTGGAAATATTTATTCAGCACTACCATTTTTCTCATTATGCATGAACATTAGGTTGTTGGAACCCAAGACACAGAGTCCTCACTCCCTTCCTGGCAAAGCTCTTGCTGAAGAGCTACAACCTCATACCTGGAGCATCGGTTTGCTCCTCTAGACATTACTTCCGTGTTTAAAGCTCACAGCCTGGGAGTCTAATCTCTCTTCAAAACACTTTTTGGTCCACAGGAAGGCTTAGCTTTGTTTATTAAATCCTGGTGTATGATTTTCCCCCGTATTCTTCACTGCTTCCTCTTGTCATGTAGCTCCAGGTAAGGTGTTTAATCCACATGCCAGGAGCTGTCGTCTTGGAAGCCTGTTTCAGTACCCTGTGGTTTTGCAAAGTGTTCCATATTGCTATGAGATGCAGGGATCCCTCTCAAAATCCCCAAAGGAGCCCTAAGAGTGGGACCTGCTGGTCCCAGGAAGATGAGGGTAGGCGCTTGATGAGTAACAGCATGGAAAGGATGCCAGTAGGAACGCATCAAGCACCCTCTCTTAGGGCTGGGATCCATCTCAGTGGCACAGCACCTGCCTAGCAAGTGCGAGGTCTTGAGTTTGATTCCTGGTACCAAAAGACAAAACTAAACAAAACAAAAACAGCACCAGTAAGAACTTTCTCTTGAACAAAACACTTTCTACCTTTTACTTCAGTTTTCTTTCAAAAATTAAAAAAAGGCACTATTTGTCTAGAGGGTATGTTTGGGAAGGAGGGAATGAGTAGGGAACGTAACATTTATCTCTGAAACAGTAAAAATCCAAAATGTTTTTCTCCAACAAAAACCTATTTTCTATCTGGGGCTCATACTAAGCAAATTATATCCGAAAAGAAAATGCTGCAGCAGCCCGTATTGCTGCAAATCAGCCTTAAGTAAGCCGCCCTCACCGCTTTGGGGATGATCTGTCTTTTCCCGTGTGTTTTGTTTCCGCATGGCAAAGGAGCTCATCGCCCTAGGACTGTGCAATTCCATCGGCTCCCTCTTCCAGACCTTTTCCATCTCTTGCTCCCTGTCTCGCAGCCTGGTTCAGGAAGGAACTGGGGGAAAGACACAGGTGGGTGCCAGTGGCCCTGTGAGAACTGTGACGTGGGTGGTTATTAAATGCTAAGCTCTTGGTTCAGCTCTGAACCCAAACAAAAGTGTCTCTACCTGCAGATCCATGTTCCAGTGAGCTGGGCAGTGAATCCCATAAAGGCTTGATTGGTTGAAGGAAACCCAAAGAACTGTATCTATACAAAAGAAGTATATTTTTCGGTTAAAGTGAAAAGTTATGTAGCATTCCCTGTGCTATTGGGAAAGCTCAATCTCAGATGGAGTTGCTGTCAGGAGAGCCTGACACTTTGGGCGGGATGCCAGCACCATCTAGCAGAACGGTCTGTGCTGGTAGAAATGCCATCCAATTGGTATTTGTACCATCCAATATGGCATCCACTAGCAATTTATGGTTCTTAAGCATCTGGTGTGACTATGGCAACCAAGAGCTACATTTTTTTATTGTATTTTATTTTAATTTTTAAAAATTAAGCCTGTAATCCCAGCATTCAGGCGGCTGAGACAGGAGGATTGTTGCAAATGCAAGACCAGCATGGGCTACAAAATGAGCTCAAGGCCAGCCTGAACTGCACAGTGAGACCCTATCTCAAAAAGACAAGAACAAAAAAGAAAGAAAGAAAGAAAAAGAAAGGAAAGAAAAATGACTCCAGAAAAGTAGATTGTAATAGAAACATGAGCTGGCCAGGGGTTTAGCTTAGTGGCACAAGCACCTGCCTGGCAAGCACAAGATCATGAATTTGATCCCCAGTAACAAAAAAAAAAAAAAAAGAAGAAGAAGAAGAAGAAGAAGAAAGAAAAGAAAAAGAAAAAAGAAACTTGAGGCTGGAGGCCAAGATTGATTCTAAATTAGATCATGTGGTCGTGGGTTATAGTGCAGTCTCACCCTATCAGCAACTGATTGAAAAAGACTAAAATCTTTGCTTTTGGAAACCAGATGTTTGCCATAAATATTGAAACAAAGCTTAATCAGAATAGCTGGTCTGAAGTCCCTAACTGGGCAACCCAGGATTCTGGCTTCTACTGAGGAATTGTAAAGAAAAAATGAAAAAAAAAAAAAAAAGGAATAACAAAATCATTACGTAAAGGGTAATATATATTCTACAAGCAATTACTGTTCAGTGTAAACTTTGGAGAATTTGAATAAAATTGGCAGTGCTTCATTTAAAAAAAGATAAATAAATAAATAGAATTTAAAAAGTTAAATAGCTGCATGTCCACAATGGCTGCTATATTGGGCAGCAAACCGTCTTCTGGACTCTTCTTTGCCTGGGGAGTCTTAAATTGCTACCAGGCTTGTCTCTCCACCCCTACCAAGGCTGCTCAGTCAGGACGTTAAGCATTTTTAGTTTCTGTTTAAAAGTTATAAAAGGTGCTAGGTGTGGTGATGCACGCCTGTAATCCCAGCACTTGGGAGGCTGAGGCAGAAGGATTGTGAGTTCAAGCTCAGCCTGGGCTACAGAGTGAGTTCAAGGCCAGAGTGAGTTGCACTATATAGCAAGACCCTGTCTCACCAAAAGAAAAAAGAAAAGAAAAAGACAGAGGCCTCAAAGCTACACAAACCCAAAGCTGCAAAGAGGGAGCGGAGTGGAGGCCCAGGTTCCTGTAATGGTTTATGACTTAACTTGAATCCGTAGTTTCGTGGTGATGGAAGGCATGTGTGAGCACAGCCTCTGCCCCACGTCCTACTCCAGGCTCCTGAAAGCTCCTTCCCTCTCTTCTCTCATTCAGCTCGCAGGTTGCTTGGCCTCGTTAATGATTTTGCTGGTCATATTAGCCACGGGATTCCTCTTTGAATCATTACCGCAGGTGTGTAACGTGGTCGTGCTGTGTGTTCTTTCCCAGTGTGGAAGGTGCTGTTTTATTCGTTTATAATTTTGCTATCTGAGGGGCGTTTATTGGAATCCGGGGAGGTAGTGTAAGAATGGGCCAAGGCTAGGATGGAGATCACGTGCTGTCCTATCCTGACAGCTGCCACAAGCCCTTGGGAAAGCCGTCCCCTCCCTTTGCTCCCAGTTCCTTATCTGCAGTGTGGGGGCTGCACTGCCTGACCACGGAGGTTCCTTCTTCCTTTGTTTGTTTATTTGATTTTTTCTTTTTGAGACAAAAGTCTCATTATGCCGCTCAGGCTGGCCTTGAGCTCACTGTGTAGCCCAGGCTGGGCTTGAACGTGCAGTGATCCTCCTGCCTCAGCCTCCCGAGTGCTGAGATTACAAAGTGTGCCACCATGCCCAGCTCCTTCTCCCCTTGACCTTGTATGACCTTATACTTTCATTAAAAACCTGAGATACCCTACGCCTGAACACCTTTATTTGCTGATATACTGAATCTGGGAAAGATCAAAAAGCATAAGTAGAAGACCGTGGTGAAATAATTCCTTGAGACCTAAGTTTAATTCTCAAGCTCTTGACCACCATGTAGTTTCAGTTCTAGGACACGAGCCTGGCTTTTCAAGGCCCATTTAGCGGAGTGCTGAAAATCCACGTGTTGGTTGCTTCAGTGAGGAGCAGGGGGAGGATGGGGACAGTAGGGGGCTCGGGGCCCGAGAAGAGAGAGGGGAGCCATGGCTGGATGTGCTGTTGCATTGCAGGCTGTGCTGTCGGCTATCGTGATCGTCAACCTGAAGGGGATGTTCATGCAGTTCTCCGACCTCCCGTTCTTCTGGAGGACCAGCAAGATAGAGCTGGTGAGTGGGGCCGCTCAGGGCAATGCGTCAGGGTGGCGACTATTACTAGTGCCCAGGAAAGTATGATGGGGAAGATGTGTGCATGGTGGCTGTGTGTAGCGCCCAGGTAGTGAAGTAAACAGTCTCTGTGTGGTGTGTGTGTGTGATATGCGTGGTGGGGGAGGGTGTGTATGTGTGCTGTGTGTGTGTGCGTGTGCCTGTGTGTTGAAGTCTTCCGGGATTGGTAACTCCTTTCTCCGTGTGCCCTCCGACCCCGACAGACCATCTGGCTGACCACTTTTGTGTCCTCCCTGTTCCTGGGCCTGGACTATGGCCTCATCACCGCTGTGATCATCGCACTGCTGACCGTGATTTACAGGACCCAGAGGTGAGCGCAGGAGCGGGATGGGCGTGAGTGTCCTGGCAGAGACTCCGTGGGCAGAAATGGTGACAGTGGCGCCTTTCGGTTGTTTCTGCTCCGTGTGAGAGGAGCTGTAATGCTCAGGGCACCTGTTGTCTAAATCAATAAGATGCCAGCTACGTGATGACCTGTAATTTCATCGGCTTCTCTACTGTGTCACGGTTTATATTTCCAACAATGATTTTGTTTTCAAACCCTAAGTTCCACCGTCGCCTCTCCCATGCCTGGTCCAAGAGGGGTCACCTGTTCATTTACTCCCTCCGAGTGACACACGAGTTAGCAGTTCACTTTGGCACTGGGGACCAACGTGGGTTTCAACGACGTGAAGTTTTGTGACACGGAGTGCTTGTACGCTGCCCTCCAGGTGTCCCTCCCTCCCTTCAGAGCCATTGATCTCCGTCATGATGTCTTTTCCTAGTGGGAAGCTGAGCCCACTGGGGAAGGTATAAAATCAAACTTTTTCCAAGCTGTTTAGGGCCAGGCATGGTGGCACATGGCTGTAATCCTAGTACCAGGGGGAATGAGGCTGGAGGATCGTGCTGAGTTCAAGGGCAGTTCATCCAGGGCTTTTTCGTTTTCTTTTTTTAAACCTCAGAGTCTTAATGAACATTATGGTTTGACACTGTCGAGGGGCTGAGAGTATAGAATCAATCCCTGACACCAAAAGAGAAAAACACTTGCATTCTCTAAAAACCACAATCTAGAACTGGAGATTTGTGTGTTGTTTTCTGTACTGAATAGGATTTTATAGTTTCTTATCATAAAATTTAAAGTTGGACAAGTTTACCTTTTAAATGCTCTGCTTTCCTTTTTCCCTCGAACACTGAACTAAAGTTGAATGTGTGTGTTCCGTCACTTGGTGGTAATCCTGCTGGGTTTCCTAAGCTCAGGGGACCCATGCTCAGGACACTTGTTTCTCTGTAGCTAGCCTCCTTGTTATAACCAGGGCACACTTTCAGGAGACAGCTAGTGTGCCCTGTTCCAAATACTCAGTTTCCCCCACAGCACCCACAGTTAACAGCCACGTCATCCAGCACATAGCACCCCATCACCTCTTCTGGGCCAGCATTGTGGGTGCTGTTGGTGTGATGGAAGTTTAGCTTCTGCCTCGACTTAGTTATTTTTCCTGTTGCTAAGACAAAATACCCAACACCCAAAGCTAAAGGAGGAAAGGTTTATTTGACACAGCCCTGGTCAGCTGTCTCCAAGGCAGGGTGGCACATGGCGGAGGGGCAACAGTTCCTGGCAGGCAGAAGGTACCGAAAGCAACAAGGGATCTGAATGACATCTAACTGTCTGCCCCTGGCATCTTCTGCAGACTGCTTAGGGCAGGTGGCACTCACTCCCTTAATCCTAGTGCCCTTGATCCTAGCATTGCACCATGAATCAACTCTGGCATCACACATTCTAGATCCAGCCACTTCCAAAAAGCCCCATCTAGGACAGCATGAAGCTTTGGGGGACTCTTAGGCATAAGCCATAACATCTTGCCCCTGGCCCCCTCAAAAACTCGTGCACATCCCTTTATGCAAAATGTATTTAGCCCAATTTCAAGAGTTACCAAAGTCCTAACAGTTTCAGCATTGCTGAAAAGTCCAAGTTCTAAGTCTCCTCTGGGATTTAAGGCAAATTCTTAGCTACAAGCCCCTGCACAAAAGAAAAAAAAAGTTAAACACTTCAAGTATTCAATGGCGTAAAATAGACATTTCTATTTCAAAAATTACAAACAGGAGGATACAAAGGAATGGGACTAAGCAAGCCCAAAATCCAGCAGGGCAAGCATTAAGTCCTGCGGTTCCACTTCCAGCATTCCTGGCAATTGTGGCAAACTGTCAGCTCTAAAGGGTTTGGGTGGCTCTGCCCCTGTGGCACTGCTGGTGGTTGTAGCTCCAAGGGCTTCTTTCTCTGGCTGGCTTTGCTCACTCCTTGCAGCTTCCTTGGACAATCCATATTCTTGGCTTCTCCAGCCACCTGAGGTCTCCACTGCACCTCACACTCACAGCTCCACACACTGCCCTCTCAGAAGCACACTGCCTGGTCTCCCTGACCTACTTCTGAAATCTGGGTGGAGGCCTTCCCGATGCAACTCCTGCATTCTGCATGCATCTCAAACTAGTACCATGTGGATGATGCCAAGGTTTGCTTCCAGCTGGAGCTGTAACCAGGCTTTGCGCTCTCTTGGCTGTAGAGGTCCAGGGCTATGATCCAAATCCTGAGGAACAACTTCCCTAGGCTGCCACCATTCTGGAACATGGTATATTATAGCTTTCTTCTCAAAGTAGTCCTTCACTTTTGGAATTTTAGGGCTGCAAAGGATAGAGTCCTGCTGCTCCCTCAGGCCATTTTTTCTGTTCTCCTGTTCCTCCACAGCAGTCAAAATCTTCTCTGCTCTATCTTTGCAATCCACAGCTTTACTGGAACTTCCTTTCTGGTAAACCTCACAACATTTTAAATCATCTTGGGCTCTTTGTTCTTGATTCTCAACATAGATCTGGCTAAAAGCCCCCAACAGTAACCACACCACTACCTCAACATTCAGCTGCCTTGAAATTTCATCTGACTGATTAATTAGACTGCTGCCCTTAATCTCAGTCTCAGACAAAGTCTCTGGACATGAGTAAAATGTAGACTAACTTTCTGCCAAACCATAACACACATCATCTGGAGTTCAATAGCCAATGCAGTGCTTCTTCCCAGCAGAAACCTCCCAAGCATGATCTTTACTGGTATCATTTCTGTCAACATTCTAGTCTTCTGAGCTCTGACCACAATCTCCCATCAAGCATAGCTTTCAAGCTCTACTTTTTTAGCTGTCATCTCTGAATATTTTCAAACTATTTCCACAAGCCAGTCCCAAAGTCTCCTAACCCACATGGTCAGTTATAGTCCCAACAACAACCCCACTCTCCACACCAAATTCTTAGTTCATTTTCTTGCTGCTTAAACCAAAGGCCCAACACCCAAAGTTCAGAGGAGGGCTAGGCATGGTGGCAAACACCTGTAATCCCAACACTAGGGAGGCTGAGGCAAGAGGATCACTCCAAGTTCATTGCCACCCTGGGCTACATAGTGAGTTCAAGTCCAGCTTGAACTATAGAGCGAGACCCTCAAAAAAAAAAATCAAGTTAAAAGAGGAAAGGTTTATTTGGCTTACAGTTCACAGAAGTTTCAGTCCATAGGCAGCTGGCTCCAAAGCAAGGTGGCACATGGCAAAGGGGAAACAGTTCCCAGCAGGCAGAAGGTACCAAATGCAACCAGGGATTTTAATGTTTTTCTGCCCCTTTTATCTTATGCAGACTATTTAGGGTGGTAGCTCTCACACTGTTGATCTAGCATTGCACCGTGAATCAACTCCAGCATCACACACTCTAGACCCTGCCACCTCCAAAAAGTCCCACCAGTGACTGCATGAAGCTTTGGGGGGACACATAAGCACAACCCATAAACAGCCCCCAAAATGCTTATAATTTAGCCAATATCATAAAACATGTTGGGGCTGGGGATTTAGCTCATCGGCATAAGCGCCTGCCTTGCATGTGTGTGGTTGTAAGTTCAATCCCTGGTTCTGATAAAAAGAAAAGACAAAAAATAAAACATGTTAAAGCAATTATAATCTCCATTGGGTATATATTTGTCAAGGGCCTCCTATGATCCCAAGGAGACACTAGACCCTCCAGCTGTTGCAGTAAATAAGACATCACGGTCCTTCCCTTCAGAAAGTTGGCTTCTCCCAAGCACGATGGACATACACAGTCATGGGATGATGTTAGACGATAATGCAGTGCTATGGCACTCGATGGTTACAGCTACTTACGTGCTTTGCTCTGAACAAAGATCAATGCTGTGCATCCTCGCTTCCTTACAACCCACAGATGTCAGCAGCCCCCTCTCACAGGTGTGGAAGCTGGGTTCTAGAAGCACAGACACAGTGCACAGTGAAGCTTAGGTGGCTCTGGGTTTCTGTGGGTCCTAGTGCCATCTTTCTTTAGAAGATGAGAGTGCACGGTTCCCTGTGCTTCAGTAGTCTTACCCAGGCACAGTGTGACAATCAGTACAAGTGGCCCAAAGGATACCCTTGAGAGCTCATGGAAGTCAGCAGGGAGTGATGGGGCTGGGCCTCCACTGGAAGCGTTAGGATGTAGACCTGCAGACATGAACACCAGGGTCTGCAGTTGGCCAGGAAAGCCCTGCCCTCCTCTGCCTGCTCATTGCTGAGTTCTCTGGGCCAGAGGGGCTCGACTTCCCCTGTGCTGCCATGACATCCCTCCATGCAGAGATGGGAAGGTGCCGGGAATGTAATGTGGGGTACATTCTACAAGGGCACCAGGGGGATCAGATATTCCTGGGCTTGCTACCAAACTCACACTCTGCACCCAGCACCATGAGCTATAACACACTCTGTGTTGCAGCCCGAGCTACAAAGTCCTGGGACAGCTTCCTGACACCGATGTCTACATCGACATAGATGCCTACGAGGAGGTAGGACCCTTTCCTAGGATTTTAAAAGACGGTGAGCGTGTGATTGAAAGGCAGAGGCAAAGGGGAGGAAAGTGTAATAATGAACGTAAAAACCCACAAAATGCGATTTACCATCCAGATTTACCTTTATACTGCGTGTTAACTACTCGAGTTCCTATTTTTCTTTTCCTAGTTTTGAGTCAGGATACGTACTTGTTGGAATTAAAGCATACATGTACAAAATAGTGAAATTGAAAAGTGGTTTGTGTATATACAGATTTAAACTAGTGGTAAAATACTAAATTTAACCATGTAAAAACCTATATGGTGAGGCTGTGCAATTCTCCTCCTCCCTCCTTTTTCTTGAGACAGGGTTCTCTCTGCAGCCAGGCTGACCTCAACCTTTGCTCCTCCTGCCTCAGCCTCCCAAGTGTTGAGATTCTGTGCATGAGCTTTCCCAATTAATTTTGAATAGTTAAAATGATAGAGGCAGGTTTCATTGATTTTGAGCATTCTTTTTTCCTGTGGAATCTCAAAGACTTTACAAAAATCTTTTAAAATTCATTTTGTCTGTTTCATTTTTTGTTAGAGAAGAAGCTCTCAGGCTCACCAGGAGGTGCTAGGAAGGGCAGCCGGGGTTAGAGTTACTGATGTTTCCTGCTTGCAAAGAACCATGTGGATGAATTAGGCTTTGCAAGCTGCTAGAGTTCCACAAGGATCAGAATTGGACACAAAGTACTCGCTATTTTGCCTGTGTCACGAGGCGCCTGCCTCCTGCCTGTCCTCAAACCCTGGCAACTTCTGTTCACTTCATGGGCCTTCTTCTTCTCATCCTCTGGCAGCTGCCTTCCCTCCTCTGCCTCTGTTCTTTTTTTGTTTGTTTGTTTTTTTAATAATATTTCAGTTCCTCTTCTTTGGTTCAACAGTAAAAATGAAGCAGTGACAATCTTGTAAAAGAAATGGGAAGACGGACATTTTTAAAAGCTTTCAAGCTGCTTATGGTGGCGCAGCCTTGTAATCCCAGCTACCTGAGAGGCTGAGGCGGGAGGCCTGCTTGAGCCCAGTATTTTTGAGACTAGCCTGAGCAACATAGAGAGACTCTGTTTTAAAACAAATCTTTTTTCCTTAGTACTTTTCCTGCCAAAGCCTGACACCATTCTACCTACACACCGTCAGAGGACTCTGTAACTTCTGTATACATCTCCACACTGGAGGAGGGAGGCAATTGCAGTTTTAATTCTGAAATAAATCCAGGTGTTCAATTCCCTCATATTTTACTTCTCAGGTGAAAGAAATTCCTGGAATAAAAATATTCCAAATAAATGCCCCAATTTACTATGCAAACAGTGATTTGTACAGCAACGCATTAAAAAGAAAGGTGAGTGGAAAGAAATTAAGAGTGGCTACTTTCGAGGAGGGGAATTGTGGACTGACGGTGGTGGCAAAGTCACTTAAATGTGTCAGTGAGCCTGACTGTACTATTTTGCACACACACACACACACACACACACACACACACACCCCTGTGATAAAACATACCGCTCCGGCACTTCCAGCTTCCAGCCCCCTGGGTAGCATCACAGACATTTGCAGCCCTGTGCAACCAGTGCTGCTGCTCATTCTCTCTTATGTGTATTTATTGCATTAAAAGAAAATGAAAAAAGAATCTTAGATTTTTTGACTTTGGGAATCGTGTTGGTTCCCCTGGTGATGATCAAAACTCACCTTCACGTTGCCCATCAGCCCACAAATCTTTTTAAGATACAGGAATCCAAGAAATGAAGTTTGGTGAATACTGCTCTAAAAATTCTCTTTGCTACCTTCCCTTCTGGTTGTCTCCAATAAAGACTGGGAAACGCTTACCCGTGTTCTCCTAGATCCTGGGTGGTGACTTGCTTCCGGACATCTGAGGGAATGGAAGAACCAGGGGAGGGTGGTAATCTGGCATGGAAAGCACGTGGGGGGATTTGGGGATCAGTGATGCTTCAGTGGGTCCCTCAGAGCCGTGGAGTGATTTCTTTATGTTGTCCTCTGTGAAGACTGGCGTGAACCCGGCGCTCATCATGGGAGCGAGAAGAAAGGCCATGAGGAAGTACGCTAAGGAAGTAGGGAACGCAAACATGGCCAACGCCACCGCGGTCAGAGTGGTGAGTGGACTCCCACCGTCATTGTCCCCGGCTCTTGATCTGCAGTAATTCTAAACAGAGCAGGAAGTTACTAAGTAGGAAAGCTCAGGGTCAGCCTAGGTGTCTTAATGCATCGTGGGTGCGGTCAGTTAGGTAGATGCTTCTGAAATCAGCATTGAAAACACTGTTTTAAAAAATAAAAATCACACAGCACCACGGAAACTTTTTTCATCTGCCTCCTCCTAGACTTATTCAGCTGGTAGTAAAAAGGTTCCAAGGCTGATGTTTAATGAGCAGGCTCAGAACTTGTGGCTTGTCATGCCGAAGTCAATGGAACTAGTTTAGGAGTTTCTAGACATGGAGAGGATGACAAGAGGAAACTAAGTCAAGCCTAAATATTACACACGTTTCCCTTCAGTCGTATGAAGAGGTTGGAATTTGACAAATATTGTAAAGGAGACTTGCTATTGTCAGAAGCGTGAGAGTAGAAAGGCTGATTTTTTTATGGAAATCTCTCAGACCCAAAGTGTATCATAACATGATCCAAGTGTGGTTTCATTTCTGATGCAGGATGCAGAGGTAGATGGAGAAGATGGTACGAAGCCCGAGGAGGAGGATGGTGAAGTAAAATACCCGCCGATCGTCATTAAGAGCACATTTCCTGAAGAACTGCAAAGATTTATGCCCCAGGGAGACAACATCCACACCATCATTCTGGACTTTACACAAGTCAACTTCGTGGATTCCGTGGGGGTGAAAACTGTGGCCGGGGTGAGCATGACCGTGACCAAGTCAGCCAGTGTCTGTCCCGTCTCCACAGGATGGGGTTCGACTGGGGTCCCTTCTCAACTCCTAACGTTCCTTTGTGTTGTTTTTCCACTTTTGGTTATGAAAACATTTTAAATATGGCATAAAGAGTAAAGAGCAGAGCATCAGGAACCTCCTCCTACCTATGATTCAGCTTCAACAATGATCAATTTATAGCCAATCTCAGTTCATTTATACCAACATCACTTTCTTTCCTGTTATTGAAGCACACCCCTACTGTTACATTTTCTATAAATATTTAAGTATCTGTCATTTAATAAGATTCTCTTTTTAAAAATCAATGCTATTGTACCTTTCTTATAGCTAAGTAAAATTTAATAGTATTTTATATCCTTAGTTATCACTATTAGTTTTAAACTAAAAAGCAAAAGAAATACAAAGTTCCTTTCAACTGATTATCTGAAAACTGTTTCATTATTGAAAGAGCTCAGTGAATGAGTTAGAGGGTCTCACATCCCTTAAGTATGTATAGGCAGAAAGGGACTTGTATCTGGCAGAGTCAGGAAAAACTAACTATATTTCAACATTATTACAGATCGTAAAGGAGTACGGAGATGTCGGTATTTATGTATATTTAGCAGGATGCAGTGGTGAGTACTCCTTTAGGATGGGGAAAAGTTTTAACAAGTTACTTTTGTTTGCTCGTAATAATTGCCTTTGGAAGTGTTCACTCCAGTTACAGCCTTCTGACCCTGAGGTGGGGGAAAGGGGAGGAGCCGATGGATCCACGTTCTTCATGCAGTGGCCCCCGTGACACATTAGAGCTCTATAAAGTCATTCTCGCTGATGGCTTTTTCATCCACTCGTTTGGAATACTTTGCCTTATAGTTCAATTAAAACAGTACTTGAGCATAAAAGCTGTGAAGTCATCACTTTCCACATGTCACAAAAGTGAAGGGGATACCGGGGGAATACCCATCCAGCACAGAGCCACGTTATCTTGCAAAATTCCCAATGCATGGACTTTTAGCACAGCAAAACCTCAATGTGCAAACCCATTCAAAACAACACCTGTGTGCTTGGCCACTATAACACTGTCTGTGACAACAAAACCTTGGGAAAAAGTGTCCAAGAAAAGGAACCAGTAAATAAATGAGGGTATGTCTATGCAATGAAATGTCACATAGTGGTTAAATATACATATAATCTCCAATTAAGCAGCCTAGAGAGATATATATGTGCTATCTTTGAGGTAAGTGAAAAAGGGGGGAAGGAATGTTTATGTTCACTCGCCTTTACATAGAGAAATCCTGGAAGGACACCCAGGACAGCAATGAAAGTAGCTTCCAGGGACCGGGCTATGGGATGACACAGACAATGAGGCTTTACTATAGCATTTTAATAAACTGTATGAAAGCGTTACTTTAAAAAATATGTTCAAGACCAAAGCCCCGAGTGCAGAATAATTTTTTTGTCTTATGTTTTATAGCACAAGTTGTGAACGACCTCACTCGAAATCGATTTTTTGAAAATCCTGCCTTGAAGGAACTGCTGTTCTACAGCATCCACGACGCGGTGCTGGGCAGCCAGCTGCGGGAGGCGCTGGCCGAGCAGGAAGCCACGGTGGCCCCTCCGCAGGAGGATATGGAGCCCAACGCCACTCCTGCCACACCCGAGGCCTAGGGGACCTCGGCGTGGGCGGGTGGGATTGTTAGTGGGGGAATTCCTAACTTACACATTTTAAATATTAGACCTTAGGTTTTCCCTGAAGGTAAATACTAGTAGTCGAGGCTTGATTTGGAGGGTAAATGATGCGTAGCAAGATGTATCTCTCTTGTGTTTTCTAAAATTGAGTATTTCAAAGGCGGATTGGCCTTTTCCCCGTACTTATTGTGCAGTGGCGTTTGTGACTTCTCAGTATTGTCTTTGCAAGCCAAGCACTTAAAATCCTACGTGCTTAAAGTACTTTACCTACAAATAGGATATGGTTTGGTACTTCTCTGGCTACAGGTGTCTATAATCAGTCACCTCACAAAGGAGGGAAACCCACAATCTTCTGGGGGTTCTTGTTTTACAATAACCTTTTGTTATTGTAAGAAATATTGTTAAGAAATATTAAGTGTACTGTGAGCACATCGGAAAAACAGGGAGGCAAAAATAGTAACATATGTTCAACACGCCACCACTCAACACCATTAAGATGTTAGCATCCCAATGCACATCCATTCGGGTGCTTCTCTGTGCATGACACACCTTCGCATTTCAGTCAATCTATCTACATAGTGTTTGGAACTAATTTTTGAATCATCAGTCTCTACTTTCTTGTCCAAGATATTTTTACCTCAGATCGTATTCCCACTTCTCCAGGTGTCCCTAAATTTTCAGTTAATTTATCCAAGCCAGTTTTCATTCTGCGACCTTACGTGCTACTTACTGGTCCTGTCTCTTTCTCTGTGTAAATCTTTTAACCTATCACAGTTCCTGACTTTATTTTCCCCCAGGACTGGGAATTGAACCTCTAGCCTTCACTCTGAGCCACCTCTTGGCCCTCTTTTCTTACAGAGTTACTAAGTTGCCTAGGCTGGGCTTGAACTTGGGATCTTCCTGATCAGCCTCCCAGAGCGCTGGCGTTACAGGTGCACACCACACACAGCTGACGCTTACTTACTGAAGTCTGGGATGTTTTTTACAGAATACCACCTTGTGATTTTGTCTGTTTTCTCATGGTGGCATTTAGCTTCTTCCTCTATTTCCTACACTACCTGCAATCTGGAAGGCTCGTGGAGTTGAACTGAACATTTTGTTAGGAGATGCCATATCATGCTTCCTATTGTATCACATCGAAAAATACATAGTACCCAGTGCACCTACCATTACCAGTGTTAGGATGGGTCATTGGATTAGTACAACTGTCCAATCTTCCCATTGGTTTCCCCCCTTGTGGCAACAGTTACCTATTTAACTGTTTCTCTGGCGTTAAATGAATATTCACTTTTGCCATTAGCCATTAAACTAGAAAATATAAAAATAAGAGTTCTTACCAGAATGTCAGGTTGAATGCTTTATTTTCATTTGATTATCAAATTCAAAGTAAGGAATTGGCTTAATAGATAGTGACAAATTAGTGTTGTTTTGTTTTTTGCAGATGTTTCATTTGTGATTTATAATTTCAGTCTCATGAAATTTTAGTTTGAATGTTTTCACACCTCCATAGTCTTTTTGACACTCAACTGTCCACAACAGTGGTCAGTAGGAACCACTGTAAGTTTTGTTGTTGCTAATAGTGGAGTAACATCAGAGACCTTGGATTTTAAGAAAGCTAATGTGCAGGTATAGTTTCACACCATCCTTCAAAGTTCATAATTATCAGTTAAGGAGTCATCGAACTCAATTTTTAGCCTCTGAAAAATATTTCTCCTTTGCTTATAGTTGATACAGAAATGTGGCATGTCCAGAGGCTGTGGGAGGGTTTGAAGCCAGTGTCACTGGCAGCCCTGTTCTTGTAGTTTTTCAAATATCTGTCATCTCACAGTAACTCAAAACACATCTCACAGTAACTCAAAAAGCATTAACCAACCTGGGCCGAGCTCCTGCTGACCATTCCTGCTTTGTCTTCTGTCCTAACTGTTCATCTTTAACTGTCTTCTTGACGCCTTTCAGTTTTCATAACTAAGGCTCTGCTGGAAGGGGAGTGGTCAGATCCTAACGGAATTGTTAGCATACTACATTAGCTTTTCAAAGAACTTCACTAATTCCATTGCAAGTAAACCTTTCCTTTCTAATCGATTCTTTATTTCAGCTAGAATGAAATTAGAGTAGCACCTGGTCATGCTTTTTTAACTGTCACACACAAGATCAGATACATCTGCATTCTGACACGGACTGCCTTCTGAAACAGCACGTAGTTCCAGAACTTTAGCTTATACTAGAAACTTGTATCAAAGGGCCCATATCATTTCAGCCATTGAACTAGAATATAGTCCTTCACTGAATATTCTTTAGCATCCGTCTTCAACAAATGCCTTTTGCACAGTAGACACTCAAGTCCTTGGGTTGATAAGGTACAAAAAAAATTGTCTATAGCTCACATTTTATATTTTAATTTTCTGTTCTTTAATTTTAACCTGTTTTGAATTCTGTATGTATATAAAAAGCACTCTCCACAGGTGGGAAAATGTATTTTTTAGGATGCATCTGAGATTATGAATGTATTTCAAAAAAAAAACCGCTCCATCTATGTATATACGTCTGAATGTTTTAGAATTATGGCATAGTAGTCATTTTTCTGACCTGCTTTCATCCGTGTTAGTCTTTATTGTTCAAGGCATTATATGTAAGCCCCGCTTGTTCTCTCTGGCCCTGAATAGCTGCTAGCATATGCCTTACTGTGCTTTTCAGCTGATTCAAACTCGGATCTGTCTTGCTCTATCCAAATGGGCATAATCCACACTGACACAGAGCCTGGACTAGTCTTAGATTATGGCAATGTAGGAAAGCCCTATTTTCAGGAAGGGCCCCATAAAGAGAAGGCCTTTGTCTTCCTTCAAATCCTGCAGTGTGATGGAGGTTGCTCTCTGCCTCTTGGGTAAATGGCATATATTTGAAAACAGTTGCAGGCCTGGGCCAGGGAAACTCCACTCTGTAGACAGACTCACAGAAGCATCCAGTTGCTGATAGTGGGCTAACGGTCACATGTCATCTAGAGTGGAACCCAGGAGTAAACAGGCGGATCTTCTTCAAGCCCTCAGCATAGCTTGTTTTAAAGTTTTCTGATAATGTCTAAAATATCTATTCTGCATTGTTTGATGTTGCTGTATCCTTACCCGTTTAGCAGAGAAAGGAGGTGCTAACCTCCAAGTGTGTTATTTTGAGAAAATGAGCCTGACCTCTGTGTGTATGAAGGGTATCTAACCAAGAGAATCTGCCCTAGAGTGGGGAGGTGTGTTTTTGTGTGTTGGGGGGTGGGGGGTGTGCCCTTGTGTGGGGATGAGGGAGGGAAGGGTATGTGGTGGGGAAAGTTTTCTCTATTACAACTGCCCTTTAAAAATAGTGACTCAATTTAAATTCTAAAAGGAAAAAAACTTTCTTGCTTTTATGAATGTAAAATGTTGGTTAAAGTGCACCTTTTGGGAATGTTCTTAAGATTCATTGTTTATTCTTGAGGTTTTGAGTGCTTATCTAATTCTGTACATACATAGCAAACTAAAATGTATGCAATGTTTTTGAAACTCCTCAGATTCCAGCATCAAAATGTTCAGATGTTAATGCGCCACATAAAGTGCCTGCTTATTGATTTGGATTGAATCAAGTTTGCGCACCCTAATAAGTTATCTTTCCTTGAAGATAGGCTTACCATGGCTTTCACAAGGAGCTTGAGAAGCATCATGAAAATTAAACTTTTTATAAATCTAATCAGCTTTTTAAAAAAGTATTTTTTAAAGAAACTCAACAGTATAATTCTTCTCGTCATAACCACTTTCACCAATGTATCAGTACCCTGATATATCTGCATGTGTATATTGTCATATGTATATGCAGCCACATGTACATAAATATGATCGTCTTAGGATGAAGTCACATCCTGATAAGCCCATAATTAGTAAGTCTTTAATACACCTAACCTACTGAATAAAATGCTGTACAGTATCAGTTGTCGCCCTCAGGGGTCCCTGGCTGCATAGAAACTGCCAGCCCAGGAAAACATCACAATTCAATGTATAGTGTCTCCTAAATGCCTATCACTTTTGAAACCATGAGGACCATCTGTATATGCTTATACACATGTTTTAGGTTGGAAGAGTTAACAGTAGATGCATTATTTTATCCTTTTATACAGGATTGCTAATCTAGAATGTAGATCCTATCCTACCGTTATGCTTAGGCAGAAATACATACGTTTCACCTAATTCACCGTGTAGGTAATATGTAGCCATTTAGATTTCACCAGGTTCTACCCGAAATTCAGAACCACCGTTTTTATCACACTGGCCCTGAGTGAGCTCACCAGATCATCTTGAGTGCCGTGGTGCATGAGGGTGTGCCTATCTGGAAAAGGGGAGACTTCAGAGTGCCCCAAATGCTTATTTACATAAACCATTCTAACACACACCTCTCTAGTCACTCACCTGAGGGCATTTTATTCTAAGTTGGAAGTGCTTTGCTCTATTTCATACTCAAGAAAGACTAGGCAGACACACAAAACAAGAATTTTTCTGATCAAAAATTAAAGTGGGAATATTGGTTGGATTTTATGAAGAGCTTCAGTTTCTCTACTTGAAAACTTTTTTTTTTTTTTGTCTTTTTCCTTTTTATCGGTACCAGGGATCGAACTCACGACCGCCTGCTTGCAAGGCAGGTGCTTATGCCGCTGAGCTAAATCCCCAGCCCTACTTGAAAACTTTTATAAACTTAAAATATTAATGTAATGGCATTTTCCATGCTGTCAATCTTTCCTTCTGTGACTTAAATATTTATTGTTTTCACTGTTTTGCCATTTATTTGTGAATATTTTTCTTCAGTAAAAATACTTGTTACTGTGCTTTGGTCTTAAGTGTTTGGGGTGGTCAGCACTATTTGTGGTGGAAAAGGGGCATTGGTGGTACATGAAATAGTTTTAAACAACTCTGTGGAGGATTCTAATACAATCTTTATTTTCAAAATACCTCACTGTGGCTAAGAAGTAGAATAGGAGCTTTACCAAAATTTTAAACTACTTATTAAAAAGAAAACAAAAAAAATAGGTGAAAAAATCACTTCTCTATATTAAGCCAAATCTTGGTTTTCTAAGTTTCCGCTTGTACATTTTTCTGTCTGCTTTACCTACAAATACTTTACCTTCACTGTTTAACTTAGTCATGTGGCAAAGTAAAACATACCAGATACTTCTTTGACTTTTCAACACGGTGGGGGCACACTGCTCAGCAGCACAGGTGGCCTCACACCAGGTGGGGCAGAAGGGCCTGAGAGGAGCACAGCCAAGGCAGCTGACACACTTAGACGGGACTCCCAGCCCTGACGCCTTAGGTAGGAAAACTCATGCATCTGTTACACTGATCACCCTCACCGGGCAGATGGAGACATACAACGAGACAAGGTGAGCTCGGAGCCCGGCCAGCACAGGCCTGGAACACACACAGTCTAGGAAGCGCCTTCTATGATATGAAACCTTTACACGACAGCCCATCAAAACCACTCACACAGTGTAACAAGCATCTCTGTCTAACCACACTCCAGAGAAGACAGGCTTGGACAAAGCATACAACTTTGGAACATTTATTTTTTGTGAGGTGGTTGTTAACAAGCCTGTGAAAGCTCAGGCTCCCAACTAAAAGGGTTTTCATTTGAAAGCCTCTGCAGCTTAGTTGTACGTCATGTAGCGGGGAGTAGCGCTGAATTTGGCGTAAGACTTAATGACCTTATTTACAGCTTCCAAGAAATCCTTCTCAGTGGCAATTTTTCGCCGTGCTCGGATTGCGAACATACCAGCTTCTGTGCAGACACTTCTAATTTCAGCACCTGTCAAACAGAAAGAAAATAAATAGGATTCATTAAACTTGCCCAAACAGATGGACCAGCAAAATAACCAAGACCGTTCCACTCACCAGTGCTGTTTGGACACAGCCGTGCTAATAATTCAAATCGGATGTCTCTTTCAACACTCATTGAACGGGCATGAATCTTAAAGATGTGAGTCCGACCCTAAAAGTGAAGGAATTGACAAATATTAAAATGTGAAAATATCACAGGAAGGGAAAAAATCAACAATCTCTTCTAAAACAACATGGCTTTCTTACCTCTAAATCAGGCAAGCTGAATTCAATCTTTCTATCCAACCTGCCTGGCCTCATCAGCGCTGGATCCAAAGTATCAGGCCTGTTAGTGGCCATCAGCACCTTAATGTTCCCTCGAGGGTCAAAGCCATCCAGCTGATTGATCAGCTCCAACATCGTTCTCTGCACTTCATTGTCACCTCCGGCACCATCATCAAACCGGGCCCCTGCGGAGACAAGGAGACACCTGCCAGGCACCTCTGAGCTGCGCCAGCACTGGGGGGCCAGCTCAGCTGCGGGCTCCCCCTGCGCACCAGCAGCCTCACCTAAAACTCACAGCAGGGTGGATCTTTGCTGTAGGAATTTACTACGGATTTGTTTAACACAGTCTTCTTCAAAGTTTTGAAGATCTTAATTTTTCAAGTCTCTCAAGAACACCACAGCGCTTTGTTGTTTCATACAATACACAGAGTGAAGTGAGAGCAGCACGCAAAGGCCAACACTATGATGACGCTTGATTATATGGAGGAAGCTGTCATGCGGTCTCAAAATCACTCCTTCAAATCCGGCTAACCCGTAACATAGCAGAACGGCAGCAGCTTCCTACTGAGCTGACTTGGATATACTGACGGCCCTGTGTTCATCTAGCCTTTCACTTCAACCCAATCAGCATACACCAGAAAATAAAAGTTTACCAGTTTCAAAGTATTTTTTTCACTTTTAAGATACATAAATGCATGGCTTTGTATTAATGTGTTACATATACTAAGACACACAAATGCACTTTTTAAAAAAGGAGATTAAAATACAGCAGGCAATTCTAGTATTTTCTTCCTACACCTCACAGACTATTTTACAGTGCTCTTTGGATACCACTGCTTTGGGGTACACTGACATCAGAAGGCTCACACCAAACACACTTTAGAAATGACTCTAGAACCAGACATTGCATCACCAGACTATGGTCTCATTATGGCCTTTGAAAACACCTTAATGGCACAAAATCCAAACCAGCACTGGTCAAGCAGTCTAACACCAAGACTCTAAGTCCTAATCACAGTCCCAAACTGTGAGGCAGGCCCCTAGTACTTTCAATTCATTTTTGCCAGTGAGCTATTAAATAAAAACTGGCTGCGTGGACATAGGACACCTCAGCTCAGCACTGCCCAAGTCTCACCACACCTCTACTTCCTCTGAAATACATAAAGTAAATAACGCAGGAATTATAATTTCCTTTTAAGACAACCAAATGGAGGCTCAGAAGTCAGAATCTATGAAGCCTAAATAACATTATTTTGGGTAAATGAAGATAAACCACTGCCACTTAAATTATAACCGATACTTTCTTATCACATTCAGGAAGATGCATTTCGATGTAGGAATTTTTCATGTATCAATGTGTTTTACATGAATGAAATTAGTACAAAATAGTATGACCTTTTAAAATGTCACTGTTTTATAATATTTCTTAATTCCTTCATGGTTTAGCCCTACGGTTTTATTAGCTACGTGGTTCCAATGCGCTAGAGCATATAAAAAAAAGTTAAATTTTTTTTTTACCAAGATTAGCGTATCAGGCACTACATTAACAGAGATCTCAGAAATCTAATGGTAAAGTTCGTACCTCCAATGGCATCAATTTCATCAAAGAAGATAAGGCAGGCTTTTTTTGTTCTGGCCATTTCGAAGAGCTCACGAACCATTCGAGCCCCCTAGTGAGAAAATTTACTTAGTAACTTAAGAGGTAGTTTTAAAGTCATTAGAACTACAATAAAATGTTATACAGTACTATAAACTTTTCAATACTTATTTCTAACAGGATTCTAGACTGCTATGAACTTTTTTAAAAAGCCTGAAATTTGCCACGTATATCATTAAATTCATCTCTTTAGCCTCAAAACAATATTAAATAATTTTAATAATTCTGTATCTACCAATTAGCCGTTTAGAAAGTGAAGAGGTCAAATTAACATTACTGAATAAAAAAGGCACCACCTAAATCATCAAAATTTGAGAGGAAATAAAGGCATCTACTGGACCACTCAGAAATGCTGATCATTGAATTTCATTTGTAAGTTTTGATCAGAAAATGGAAACATACACCAACTCATGTAGCTCTTTTTTCTAATTCTTATTTCAAGTATGATAATCATTAAAAGGTTCCAGCTATAACATATACAGCCCCAGACTTAATTAATTAATTTTTTTGAGACAGGGTACCACTATGCAGTTCAGGCTGGCCTTGAGCTCACTTTGTAGCCTAGGCTGGTCTCAAACTCGCAACAATCCTCCTGCCTCAGTCTCCCAAGTGCTCTGGTTACATGTGTGCACCACACACCTGGCTTCAGCCCCAGACTTATTCCCTGTATGTATATGTAAATGCATCCCTACATGTATACACAGACAATGTATGTTATCTGTCACAAGGCTGCAAAACATTGTCTGTGAAAGAAACTCATTCACCAAGCATTTCTGGGGAGCTTACCTCACAGATCAGATTGTACAGAATGCCATCACTCTGACAGGGGGGCACATGGGTTAAAATTTTAAGTGGTTACCTGTTTCCAAATGACCACAGGGAGACTGGTGGCTTCGGGGCTCTAAACTACTACTTAAATCATTCGAGAAATTTTGGGCCTCAATCCCTTGATGGGAATTCTTTCTTACTGAATTTCAATCCTACTGTACAAACCTTTCACAGGTTGGTAGTTTCTGATTGTGACAAATGTGTTTTACCTCACCGACGTACTTCTGTACAAGCTCGGACCCAATAACTCGGATGAAGCAAGCATCGGTCCTGTTGGCAACCGCCCTAGCACAGAGGGTCTTGCCTGTGCCCGGGGGGCCAAACAGCAGCACACCCTTGGGAGGCTCGATGCCTAGGTTCACAAACCGCTCTGGCTGTGGGACAGAGACACAGTTTCCACATTTACCACTTCTGCAAGTAAAGGTAAGAGTACTTTCACATCAAAAGGTTCTTAAACCCACAGTTTCTACACCTGATCTAAATAAGGAATTTTACTTATTCTAAGACATAGATGGGAGATACATTCTCGTCGATACATAAAGGTACTTTTACTTGTCAATACTTAAAGGTACTTTTACTATTTAGTCTTGACAAAAATCTTTCCTTGCTTTACAAAATAACAGTGTTTAAGTAATATCTGGCATTCAATAGCCCAGTTTTTCATTATCACCCCAAGTTTAACTGTTTCCTTCCTGATGCCATTGGAACACTTACTTTCTTCTATAATAATCTGTATATCTATTTAACAAAGTTAAAGGCTATGGTTTGGTTCAGTTTGTTTTATCAATCTAAGTAGCAGATCTTTCTTTTGAGACTATTTAATCCTTTTTCCTTGCCTCTTTTCTGAAATTTATCATCTCTCCACACTTAGACTCAAAAATTTTCATGAAGGAAAATATTAAACCTAAAAGCTATCTAATATGTAAGCAATTTTAGAGCTCAACACACAAAAGACTATTATGTCTTTATAAAAAGAAATGTAAATCCAACATTCAGCTACTCACATGAAGTAATGGAGTTTCGACCACTTCTCGCAGTTTTTCAATCTGCTCCTTACACCCGCCAACATCACTGTATGTGACATCAGGTTTCTCCTCCACCTAAGAAAAGAGGATACATTACATGACACCTAGGCAAAGGCCTCTGAATACTAACGCACATCTAGTAGAGCAGACTCAGTAACATGAAGGGAGAAATCAATTATAACCCGAGTTTCAACAAAATGTAATTCCTAGTGTCCGACACCTGTTGCTATATTATTTGTTATGAGATTAATAGGTGAGACAAGTAAAATAAAGAGCTATCATAAAGCTTCTTGTCTGAAAATTTTTTTTAATGTTTTGGCTACTTTGATATACATCCATATATTAACGGTTTATTAGCTAAAATTTTCAAACTTTTTGGGGATGGATATAATTGCACTGAAAGTCGGGGCAATCCTGTCCCCTTCCACAGTTTCTTACCTGCATCATGGTCACTGTCGGATCAATCTTAGGAGGCAGAGGAATGTGAATCTGATACTTATTTCTGTCCACACTAAAGAGGTTAAAAAGAAAACAACTTATTAGCATTTTCTTTAAGCTGTCAAACGGCTCTTTAGTCTTTTATCCTAAAACTATACTGCAAGCAAAATAAACATAGACCTCCTAAAGTTATACAAAGAGAAACAAAGCATTAAGACTCAGAACACTAAGACCCCAACCTAAAGTGGCAACAATCTACTCCTGACCCAATGAGAAGATGAGATTTAAAAATTTACTGGCTGGATTATTTTGTATTCCACAGATATTAGCTCACTTAATTCTCATAACTATTCTCAAGCAAATCCTTGTCCCACTTACGCCACGTTACCTTAAATAGGCTGGAAGCTCAACTCTGGAGTTCTGCACTTGCCTTTTATTACGACATTTGACACTATTCATAAACAGCCATGCGGGCGGGAGGGGAGGCGGGTGGGCAGGCAGGGAGCCGAGAGGAGAAGGGTACCTGACTCCAGCGTTACCGCATGGTCGCTTAGCATGTGAGGCATTCTGCTCAGCCACTCACAGCGAAGCCACGCGTGTGACTGTGGCGTGCTGCCCTCAGTGAAAGAGGTTTACTGACCACGCACAGAAACCTACCCAACTCTCATTCCTTCCTCAATGTCGGTGGGTGCCACCTGATCGCTGAGGTCCACCACAAACTTGGCAAACTGCTTCACGTTGATGATGTATTTGGGGTCCTCTGAGTCAGCATTGATTATCTTCGTACACCTAACACAGCAAAGGGCCTCGTTAAAGCAACGACCCTAACCCTCCTGCTAGTAATGTACTCCTGTAACAGACTCTCCTCGGCAGGCAGTGTAAGACCAAGTGTGAGCGAGAAGCGCGGACCCCTTGCTATGCTGAGCCCCACGGCCCTGCAACTGTACCGGGCTGTAATGTTTTCAAATGACGCCTCTCCTGGAAAATAAACCCACACATTTCATTAGAGAGTTCCCGAACTCCCCTAATTATATTCCCTTACTAGTGATACTCTTTTATAGCTTGCTTTCCTTCCCTATTTTTCCTGTAAGAAGACAGCCATATCGTCTCACATCAAATTCAGTAATAAATGTGTTCGCACTTTTTCCTAGGTTTATACTTTAACGTGTTCATGACGGGGCCATAAACCAGACTGCTCTGATGTGAACTGACTGGACCACCGGGGCTTGAACCTCCGGAGGTGCACGCATGGAACCGTTAGCGGCTGCACCGCTTCTCAGGCAGCCTTTGATTACAGTGATGCAAAGAAAGGTGTCGACTTAGTAGACCAGACATCATCAAAAGTTCTTAAGGAAAGCACTAAAAAGGTGTGAAAGATTGCAAAACAGCTCACTTGTGGTTCAGCAGTTGTAAATGCTTATTATACACACCAGCAACAAGATGTGCATAAAAATTTCCTTGTTAAAAGCCAGGATTAATTAAATAGAAATTTAGCTATTAATTAATCATTAATAAATTATAAATAATTATTATTAATAAATCAAGTATTAATAAATTATTGACCCATGAAGAAATGCCATGGGTACAAGTGACTTAAAAACATTCACAGTATAAAACCCTAATTAGGGGCTGGGGTAAATTCTCAGCAGCATAAGCGCCTGCCTTACAAATGTGTGGTCGTGAGTTCGATCCCCAGTACCGATAAAAAAAAAAAAAACAGCCTAATTAGGGTTGGCAAGAAACACATAAAGCAATGTTGAAAACATTACCAAAAATTATCTGAAAAAATGAGTAAATGAGTGCCATTGTGGCTACAAAAAAAGCCAAACATGTTACAGTGTTTGGGCACTCTGCACAAATCAGCCACCTTTGTATAGAAAAGGTTTTAAAGAAATTCGCATACAAAAATTTCTCTTAGTTTAATGAAATAAATTTGTAGGTTACCACAGTAATTTTTAATTGGTATATACAGTATTAATAATTACAACTGGGAGGTAATTACCTAACCTCAAACAACTAACTAAACTCAGTTCATTTACAGACTTACATTGAAAAAAGCGATCAGATCTACCTCTATCACCAGTGGTACAAAAGGTCCCATGGGAGAGCCGGGTAAGTACCCCAGTGGTTCAAGCCAATGGGAACGTGTTAATTTCTTTTTATCTTTTTCATTGTTGTGGCTACTTTTTACTTAAATGTTCCCTTTCTGGGAGAACTGGTGGAGAAGAACTTACATACCATGCGCATCACAGAATCTACGGTATCTCTCTACTGAATAAAGTCAGAAACAGAAAACAGAGAAGGCAAGTTAGAAAGCTGCCACATAAGCACAGCAACAAACACAGAGCCCGGCAGAACGGCCCCAGGGTGTGCGCCCAGCCAGAGCTGCAAGTTCAAACGCTTTGTCCTCACGGCAGACCTGTGGGACAGAACTATTTCCCACAACCAGGCAAAAGCACTAAAGAAGATCATCTGACAGGACCTGCCCCAGCACCACAAACAGAGCAGAGAAACTCAGGAAACAAACCAAAAACTGCCCCTCAGGAAGCTCAAATGTTGGTTTCACTAAACCAAAAACTTTAAATTAGTATCACAAATTCCTCCAAAGAACTAAAGGAAATTGAGTCTAAAGACCTGATGAGTATGTGAACAGGTGTCACCAAACAGAAAGCCTTAATAAACAGAGAAAAGGGCCAGGAGCCAGGAGTGTTGTCTGGCCACAGAAGAAAAGAAGTGTAGATACACGCCACAACATATGCTACGCAAAAGAGCCAGAGACAGAAGGCCATGTGCTTACGCGTTTCCACCCCCACAAAACGCCGGGCTAGGCACACTCAGAAACCAAGCAGGTCAGCACTTGGCGGGGCCCAGGCAGAGGGCACTGGGGCTTTCATGGCTTTCAGTGCCATGAAGGGGTTTTATTTTGGAATTAGGTCATGCTCATCAGTGCACAATCTTCTACACACACTAAAGGTCACTGAATTATGTACTTCAAAGAGTGAACTTTATGGAATGTGAATTTTCTATCGATAAGACACTAAAAATATACATTTTTTATCAAGAATTTTAAACCAAAGGTAAAGGGCTAAAAACCAAATGGGAGCTTTCTCAAAATAATCTTTGCCTTGTGGAAGGCCAGGGTCTCGTTTGTTGGGGGAGTAGGCACTCGGATACTTAGGTAGAGAGCTTTCATTAGGTGGAATCTGAAATAACAATTATAAACTACGGAATTATCCCTGAAAGTCTAAAGGAAATACCCGCGGAGAAGCGTGCCTACCTCGCAACCTGCAGAGGCTGCTCGCTCTGCAGAGTCTGCTTGTCTGCAGCCAAGTCCCAGAGCGCTGGGGGTGCCAGGCCGGTGTCAGACTCCTTAATGCCTGCGGAGAGAAACACCATGCACTCCTGGCATGCAGCGCGGTACCCTAAAACAGCCCTCCTCAGCCTCAGCCGGGCAGCTGGCCTTGGGCCACTAGCTGTCACCTGCCCTCCCGCCAAGTTAATCAAGACTGGCTCCAAGCTGGGGCAGGGGACACAGCTGAAAACCACTGTCCCGAGAAAATCATCAACCAAAATCCAACGCCATTTTGCCATTTCTGGTGTAGGACAAGTACTGTAAAACGTCACCTCTCAAGTTCCCAAGAGGAAAAGTTTCAGCAGCCAGGCAACAGCCTTCTTCCTTCAGCAGCCCTTTGTGAAACCACGTTTTTATTCAGTAAGAACTTGTCACTTACTAGGGTTTATAAACTGGGTGTTTGGGGGGGGGCATTTTAAATGTTTTTTTAGACAAGGTCTCACTATGTAGCCCAGGCTGACCTCGAACTCACTGAGATCCTCCTGTCTCAATCTCCTGACTGCTGGGATTACAGGCATGTGCCACCACGCCTGGTGGCTAAACTAGGTTTTTTTTTTTAATTGGTACCAGAGATTGAATTCACGACCGTGCGCTTGCAAGGTAGGCGCTTATGCCACTGAGCTAAATCCCCAGCCCTAAACTAGGTTTTGATCAGAAGAAACATTACTTGCTTAGATGATGTTGTTTCTTAGTTATATAAGCATTAAGTCTGGTTTTTAAAAAGCAGTGAAAAACACGTGAAATGAAAACCAGTATTTGTGTGTGCGTGTGTGCGCGCGTGTGCACAAGCATGCGTGTGTGTGTTTGCTTGTGTGTGTGACACTGGGGATTAAACCAAGGCCTTCACACCGAGCTACGTCCCCAAGCCTGTTTATTTTTCATCTGCAGACGGGGTCTTGTTAAGTCTCTAAACTGCCAAGAGTGAGGCTGAACTTGTGGCCTCCCTGCCTCAGCACCCAGAAGCACTGAGAGGAAGGATGTGCCACCAGCCCTGGGGGACGGGCCATTTCCGGACAGAGAGGAAGCTTAATAATATGTGAGATCTATAATTCACGAGGTGGTAAAATGTGCGTTTAAACTCTTTTCATATAATTAACACATTACCTTTAGAGGGAGGAAATGCAATGAAAAAGGTACACACCAGTAAGCTCATTAATTTTCTTGAGAAGTTGCTGAATGTCATCTTCGACCTGCTTGATCTGCCTGGAGTACGTGCTCTGGCCCTAGGTAAGCACAGCAGGTTTGGTGAGAAGTGAGGATGCCCGCGATTTCTTACACAACAAATCAAACAACTGAAATCGTAACTAACCGCTTTTATGTCCCAAAGCTTGTGAATTAAAATGCTTCATTTTCAGAAGTGTTTCTAAACCAAACAGATAACCCATCATGCATGATAACAAAGGAAAATAGATCCATTTTATGTTTAAACTTCCCATTTGAGAACTAGCAGTTACACATTAAATATTATAAACATTTGTGCAAATTATTTCAAATATATTTCAATATAGAGTCATACTTTATTGACACATGGTACAAAAATAATGAACAAGGTTAGGCCTGCTGAAATAATCTCTGATCTGTTCTAGACAAAAATATTAGGTAGGGAACTTCAATGAAGATTACTGTGGCCTGCTAGAAATTATCTTCTAGTTAGTTAGGAAGGACAAAACCAAATAGCTTTTAGCATCTACATTTTATAGACATTTAAAGGACTCACGTAAGTTTTCAGCAAGGCAATATCCCCCTCATCCAGAGCTAAAAGAAGAGAAAATAAATGAGAGTTAGAACTGAGAGCCGATCAGCTTTTCTGCTCAAATTGGTTTCTGATTCTGCATTTTCATACTGAAGTTTAGACCTAGAGGTCTTACACTGAACTACATCCCCACTTTTTTTTTTTTTTTTTGTCTTTTTCGTTTTTATCGGTACCAGGGATCGAACTCACAACTGCCTGCTTGCAAGGCAGGCGTTTATGCCGCTGAGCCAAATCCCCAGCCGCTACATCCCCACTCTTTTTTCATTTTTTACTTCAAAATGCAAGACAGTCATTGAAAATAATAACACAGTACAATGCTTATGCAATGGCAAGCAGGAATACTCAAAGGACACCCGGGATTTGGAGGCAGATTTACTTATGTCAACGGGCACTGTTGGGATTATTCATCAAATATTGGCCCCGATCTGTGGTGGTCTAGGCCTTCCGTGAGATAACCAAGCAGGAAGCACAGAGGCAGAATGGCTTGTCAACTGGGGATTGGTTTATAGAATGTTTATCATAGTGACGTGTTGTTTCTAAGACAAGAACACTGGAACTGCAACAGGAGCTATTAGCCGGGCAACTAACAAACTGGAGTGTACTGGCTGGACGGTGGGGGTGAGGTGCATGTTCTGCTACACTTACATAGAAAGCTATTCCACAAGTACTGTTTTGAAAAAGGCAGGTTAAAAATAAACTTAAAAAATCATACAGAATATGCATGTAATTTGCCATTATACAGAAATTCTTTCACACAAGTGTAGAATAGCATCAATTGGTGTTTTCCAAATGCTAACGGTGGGTATCCGGCATCTCAAGAGATTTATACTCAGTTCTCTTTAAGGACTTCTGCATTTGTCAGTCTGCCTAGTCACTAACATTTATCTGTGACTCCCACATCAACGCTCATGCACTTTTGTAGCCTTTCGTGAACACACTCATCTCAGCACTCATCCAGAGATGACGGCAATGCAGTGTCACCTGAGACCCTCACCGCCAGCTGGACATGGAATGTGTTAGAAGGGCAGCCTTGGCATGTCACAGACACTTCTGAACTCTGTTTTCTCTTCTGTGTATGGCCATAAACAGACATACTATATGTATTATCAACATACAAGCAGAAGAAAGTAAAGCATCTTAAGCAGTGGCAACTGCACCACAAGCAGCAGCTATGCCACTGGTATCCTTGCTGGGGAGCAACAGGAAAGCAGGCCCACAGCCGGGGTCTGGCCACAGTTACAAGGGGCGCGGCATGCCTATCACATGGCAGAACTGGACAGGAGGAAGAATTAGCTGAGATATGGAGAAAAGACTCAAGTGAGGCCAAGCAGAGGTCACAAGAACCTCATGCAAGACGGTGACAACGAAAAGAGAAAGCCAACGTTGGGGAGAAAGTCCTCAGAGGAGGAATGCACAGCCCCTGGCGACTGACTAAATGCTGATTAGGAGAAAAACCAAACATGATCTCTGGGCTTTGTCCTGGATACCTCAGAGGAAGATGGCACCTTTTCGTAGAAGCAGAAAAGTCACAGAGAAACCGCTGGGAAAGAGAGCTCCCCAGTAGCCACTGGAACTTAAACTGTAGAACATTAACAGAGCAGACACGGCTGCTACCCTTAGAAAGGCTGGCCCCTCAACATGGATTCGGGAGAGCGCCTGCCATTTCCGAAACTGCTAAAGAGCAGCTCCCCACGCCTACGCTGTACAGACAAAAATGGGTTTCCGCAGAACACCCACCTTCCTTCTGAGACTGCAATCTGGGAATGAGTTAGGCAGAGGCTAATGAAAATGGACTCTAACAAATTCTGCTGGGTGGTAATATTTTACACATGCTGTCAAACTTGCACCGGGAAAATCAGAAGCATCCTATGAAATGCCAGCAGAAGGCAAACCTTAGAAACTTCTGCCTGATTTCCCCTGGACTTCATCCCATGTCTCTTGTGTCTTTGGATTGTGCAGGACAACCGTATGCTAAATCTGTGACTCCTAACAAATTATTGAACCTGAGGTAGTCATGGGGACTCTGTCATAAAACAGCCATCTCAACACAGCAATCTAGAAGGCTCTAGAGTTCAGGTGCCACCGTGAAGTAAGGAAGATTGATTAGGGGTCATACTTGAAAACTGACTCTCTAAAATAAGAATAGATGAAATTACCAGAAACAAAACTTTACAGAAATCATGTAAGGATATAATGAAGAGAAGAAACAGTTAAAGAATAAACAGGAAGTGTCAAGTAAGAGAACGAAGGGAGAGAAACATCAATGTCAAAAACACAAAGATCAGGACAGAGGAAAAACTAAAGATGTGCGAATTTAAAAACCACTGTCTCAGTTTCAACAGATTTCCCGGCACACAAACCAAATTGCGAGGGAGTTTAAACACAAAGTAAGCAGTGAAGACCTGGACACAGTGGACACAGTGGGAAAAACAGCTGCCATGACTGAAATATTCACTATGTGAGGCACTGTGATGTGAGATTAATATAAAAGATTACTTAATCCTATTAGACCTGTAAGGTGAATATAATTTTTACATTACGTATGAGAAAAAAATCCAAGTGATCAGACCATTATCATCCAGCTAGTAAGAAGCAAAGCCACGGCTCAAGCGTTGGTCTTCTTAACGCCCAAGCCCGTCCTTTTACCCATACTCAGCAGCAAAGGAAAGAAAACAAAATGGGTAGTAGTTTGAGAGTTTCCAAATTGACTTATTTTTAGGATAAAATGAAGTAGAAGTGGCTTAGCCAGTTTTTTTTTTTGTGGTTTATTTGAATGTCACTGCCAGCCCATGGCTAGAAACAGGCAAGAAACAATGGCATTCTCAGAATTAAAGTGGAGAGAGCCAAAAATGCAACAAGCAAAGACAGGAATACTAAGGGTGCTGTGGAGAAATGCAACAGTTTGAACCAGGAAACAAAAGAGAACCAGATTGAAAGACTGATCAGGTTAAGGTTTGTTAGTAATGAAGACCACAGAGCAAAGAGCTGAGACAGAAGCTTGGCATGGTGGCGTAATCCCAGGAGGCTGAAACAGAAAGATCGCCTGCAAGTTCAAGGCCAGCCTAGATGACACAATGAGTTCAAGGACAGCCTGAACTACATAGTGAGCTCTGTCTCAAAAACCAAATCAAAACAAACGAACAAAAAAAGCTGTGATGGTAGGAGAAACAGCAAGCTTCACTACTTTAGAAGTGAAGCCATCTCCTTTAGTAAGAAACACTAATAGTAATCCCTCCCTTAGGTGACTATGGTGCAGTAGTAACAGAAATCAATACAACTAAGGTGATCAAAGATCATCAGTGTAAGTGAAGACACTCAAAATGACACCATGAAATAAAAGTGGGGGCCAAAATAACAAGATGAAACAACCTGGGGGTTAAACCCAAGAGGGCATGTATTTTCCCTGACAGATAACTCTGGGAGAACCAGTTAACCTCTCTGAATGCCAGTTTCATCACCTGAAAAATTCACAGTGTCTCCGTAAAGATCAAGTATGACACAGACGAAGTACAAAAATTTCTATACAATCACAACTGTGCCCAAGAAACACATCTATTAATATTTTATACAATAGCATACTAGACAAACGAGATCACTATGCACTGATCCACTACTAAATTCCTGTGACTAAAGCTTTGCAATAAGTACTGAGTGCCCTAAAGTTTTCAGTGTTTTAAAATACTTTTCTGGGGGCTGGGGATTTAGCTCAGCGGCATAAGCACCTGCCTTGCAAGCAAGCGGTGGTGAGTTCAATCCCCGGTACCGATAAAAATTTAAAAAGACAAAAAAAAAAAGAAAAAGAAAAAGAAAAAAATACTTTTCTGGGAAATAAGAGTGGGTTGAAGATAGAGAGGAAAACTCCTTGCAAAAAGGGTGTAAGTGGTGAAGGGGGCCAAAGAGAGGTTGAAGTTATTAAAAGATAAGGGAGATAATATTTTTAAAACACTCTAACAACATTTAAAAATAGCTTACAAGGAATAAAAGGAGAAAACAGTATTAAGATGAGGCAACAGAAGGTGTGATTAGGAAGAAGTCATGTCCAACAGTGATGGGTAAAACCTATGCACACTGTGAGCAAAAAAACATGGACAGGTACAGTCTCTATTAAGAATAATTTGGCATAGTCAAAACTACAGTCCTTCTAGAATCTACCCCATGCTCTATGTGGTAAAAGTCGTATGAACCAGTTGCTTTACAAAGGTAATAGATTGGAGAAATCTAAATGTCCGTCAATGATTGCCTAAATACTATCGTTATAGTATTGTGCACCCATAAAATCGTATACCATGCAGATGGAAAGACAAAATACAGGATACAGAATTATCTCCACGGTAAATTAACATGATATGCCTATATAAAAATGCACCCCTGCAGACCCGCTTGCATGCCTATGTATAGACAATGTCTAGGGACACGCGAAGACGCTGGACTAGGACCTTTTCTAATCTTGAGTTCTGAACCGTGTGAATGCACTTTCTGGACAAACAGGTGTAATTTTAAAGAGAGCTCTGTCTGAGGCCTGGCTCGAGTGACGGCACCGAGCTGTCACGCTGAGCGCGGGCCGCGGACAAAGCTCAGGTAACCTGAGGCGCCAGGCAGGGGAGCTCCGGGGCGCTGAGGCGGATGGGGTGCCTGGCTTCCCACAGCGGCGAATAAGGAACCGCTGCGACAAGCACGAGAGGAACATAGGACTGCAGCGGGATGAGGACAGAGCGCGGGCAGCCTGGGACGATGGCCATCCTGGACAAAATCTCTAGGGACGGAGTCCGAGCCCGTGGGAACGCTGGACCCCGGCCGGGCCCGCCCCGGCTCCACGACAACTGACCTCGGATGGGCTTGTCATCCTTCTCATCCTCTTTGGTTTTCCGCTGATCGGCGCCGAGGTAATCTGGCATTTTTAGGAGATGCAAGCGGCTCGGCGCTCTGGTGATTACACAGCACCTTCCTCGCTTCCGACGGTGCCTTCCCTTTTTGCTTCCCCACCGGAAGTAGAACCCGGCTTGGTTGCTTCCCCTCGCGCCGGAGGGGCGGAAGAGCTCCGCAGAACGCGCCGACTTCTGAGTTCGACGACGTCCGAAGGTTCCACCTGCAGCCCGAAGGGCAGCTCCGTTCTGACCTCACCGACCTCACCATCTCCGGTTTCTGGAGAACGCGCAACTCTGATTAGTAAATTCCCAGAGCAACTCTGGCTCGGTCGATGCGTTTAAATCCTGCCTTAATTATTTATGTGCTGTGAAATCTTAGGTCGCTTGGAAAATCTCTAAATTTTAGTTTCTCTTTAACCGCCCAGGAATCGGAAGGTAGTAAATAACAGCGATTGTGCAAGCCAGGTGTATTAGCACAAGCCCCGGAGAGTAGCGTTACAAGTTGAGCGGCGGTAAAACATCTTTCCTAAGAAGCTGATATCCTGAATACACACAGAACTACAAGTTGACAGCAAAACAGTATGACTTTTTAAATGGGCAAGGGAAAAAAACCCAAAGAAATAAAGAAGGGCAGAAAATTTGATAAACATTTCTCCAGAGAAAATATACAACTGGCAGGGAGGAAAGAGGAGGTAAAAAGAATTAAGTGTTATGTTCAGGTCCAAACTCCCCGCAATGAATGCAATCATTATATGTTGCAGATGTGTGCTAAAACATTTAGATATCAGTCAATAAACACTGGTGGGGGGAGATACACAAATGACCCCCTAACACATAAAAGATGTTCAACGTTGTCAGGAAACTGCAAATCAAAACTACCTTATACCAATACTATCTTTAAAAAGAAAGAAAAAGAGAGAAAATACCTGTTGTGAATACGGAAAAGTAAAATGTGTGCACCATTAGTAGGAAAGTAAAATGATGTGATGGCTGTGGAAAAGTGAGGCTCCTCAAAAAAGTAAAATAAAAATAGAATTACTATATGATCTAGTAATTCCATATATATACACATATACATCCTATGACACTGAAAACAGGATCTCAGAGATAATTTGTATCCCCAGGCTTATAGATGCATCATTATTCATAGTAGATCAAAGGTGGAAGTAACTCAAATGTCTATTTACAGATGAATGGGGTAAATAAAACATGTGGCATATGGATAGAACAAACCATTACTCAGCCTTCAAAAAAATGATGATACTTACTACAATATGGATGAATACTGAGAATATTGTGCTTGTGAATAAGGTTTGACTGCACTCTGAGATACCTGTAGGAGTCAAATTCATAGATGTAAGGGAGAGAGTGGTTGCCTGTGGCTGGAGCAAGGGATATTTTGCAAGATGAAAAGAGTACTAGAGATTAGTTATAAATACACTTAACACTACTGAGCTGTGCACTTAAAATGGTAAATTTCATGTTATGGGTATTTTATGATTTAAAAAATCTTAAAGGTGAAGCCTGTGTGGGAGGTGTGAGAAAAAAATATTACGACAGTGGAAGTCAAGTGTGGTGGGGCACATCTGTGATCTTGGCATTAAGGAAGCTGAGGCAGGAGGATGAGGAGTTTGAGGCCAGCCTCGGTTATAGAGCAAAATCTTTTCTCAGAAACCAAACCAAACCAAATCAAACTAATTAAGGTTAGGCTTGCACTTTAGGGCATATTTTAACAGTGGCTGCATTAACACGGGGGTCAGGCGAGGTTTTGGAAGAGATAATCAATTTTTAGGATACCATTTTTTTAGTGAGAGTTTGGTCATGCAGCTACACAGACGAATTCAAGGGATGTAACAGTGAAAATGAAATTTCCACAAAATTATTTGCTAATTGTGAGTGCTCCTCGCAGAATTCTGGCACCTGAAGTCCATTTTACCTAATCTGTTCATTTTACCCATCTGTTCAATGGGTGAGCTTTCACACACCGGTTTTCTTTTGCTAGTTTTTGATCTCAGTCCTACGTAGAAGGAAGCTAATGGTAGAAATACAGTTGATCTTACAGTAACCGAACCCTGGAGTCCTGTACTTGGAAATATCTTGGGAGAAAAATTTTTCCCTTAGAGTAGTATAAACGTATTGGTGGCATTGAAACGGGACCTAATACTAAAGTGCATTCTCTTCTCCAAATAACCATTACAAGAGATATTGCAGGTAAACGGCAGTAACACAGTTGTTACCTATTCCCTTTACGGTGAAGATAAACCCAAATGCACCACAGGAATACATCATCAATACTAGTTCCTATACGACTCTCCATTTTTTATGTATACAAATACATCTGCTGAAAAAACAAATGGTTAGATTGAGACTAATGTATAATGTAGTAGGAACTTAAAATATGAAAGGAGCTGATTCACCGTGTTGAGGATTAACCCAGATCTTCGCGCACGTGAGCTTACATTTCGAGCTGCTTTGAAAAGTTCTTTCCTACTTAACTGCATTTGCAAGAGAGAGCTACTGTACAGTAATAGTCTTCCCAAGGAAACTGACGACGCTAGGAACCATTCCTGTCTGCGCCTGTCTCCAGCCGGATCCGAGTCTGGACGGAACCCCGCGGCCTCACACGTCGGCGCGGGCGGTGGGGGTGGGATTGGCAGCTGCACCGCCAGAGACCCATCCCGGAAGTGCTTACCAGTCTTCTCCATGCGCCGGTTCCTGGGCGCCGGAGGTCCTAGGCTAGAGGCTCAGACCCGAAGGTAGAGCTGGCGCGGACTCCGACGGCCCTCCTCCGGGAACGTAAGCCTCCGCGCCCGCCGGCCGAGCCCGAGCGCCAACATGCTGCTACTGCCGAGCGCCGCGGACGGCCAGGGCACCGCCGTCGACCGCGCGCTGACCTCGGGTAGGCGCCCCGGCCCCCGTGTCGCGCCCCGCCGAACCCTCAGCCTGCGCCCTCGCCTGCGGGCGGGCCGAGACCCGCTAGCTGCTCGGGACCCTGGGGCCCTGGAGGACGCCCCATTCGCCTCCTGCTCTACAGGAGCCCTGCCCTGGCTTGCATGGGAGGAGGTCGGGGGGCGTCTTACGGCTGCCCCCACGCTCGGCGCCTTCCTCGGGGCTGCTGACTCACGGAGCGGGCTGGGAACCGAACCCTTCCTTCGCACAGAAAGATTCCCATACACACCTCCCGCCCTCGCCGGGGACCCTGCCGGCGCGGGCACCCACGTGCCCAGCCCTGGGGCCGTGCAAAGCGGCGCGCGCGTGTCTCCGCGGCCACCTCGCCGGTGGCTTTGCGCTCGAGTGTCAGGACTCAGACACCGTCCTCCACTCAGTGTCGCGGGGAGCTGGGCGTGCGCTCACTCCTACCGGCGGTCATTGCCAGCGAACCCTGTTCTCGGGCCCCGGGGTCTCAGAGTTGCACACTGGCGCAGCCGTGTGAGTGTCCCAATCGGAGAAGTTCAGCACTTGCCGCACCGTTGTCTCCTTAGGCGCCAGTCCAATGGGATTTGGGTTTTGTCCCGAGGCCGGTGTTGCCTTTGCGAGTCTGCTCTTACTGTTAAAGGGAAAGGCTAGGAGGCAGTGTTTCTAAAGCCACACCCCCATTGCACAGGTGGTATCTTTCAGACAAGGTGTTTGCATGTTTTCCGAAGTGGAGCATTCTTAACCTCCCAAACCAATTACAACGCAAAGTTTAAGTCAGTTTTTAGAAAATGATGGCCATTAGGAACGAGGAAAAACTTGTATCTTTATTATTCATTACTGGACCAAAAAAACCTTTGTTTTTAAATAGAATATGAAATTTAAGAGCCAGGAATATAGCATAAGTGTCTGTCTGGAAACTGCAAAGTCATGAGTTTGATCCCTGGTTTAAAAAAAATTAAAATCTCTGTGTGTGTGAAATTTAAAGTTCATTTAGGTTTTTTTTTTTCTCTGATCCAAATTGCCATTTTTGAATTGTTAATATGATTTACTCTGACTTCCTGGTAACACATAATGCCTTTCAGTTTGTAATGTTCAAAGTGCTTTATGGTTTTATTCAGTGTTTTTAGGAACTGTGTGAGAGAAGTTTTGTTCCTTTTTACAGTTGAGGCCATCTCTGAATCCCTTCAAGATACAGTACATTGTCAAACCCAGACTAAAACCTAAACCCAAAACTTGTTCCTGTACAGTGTAACTACATTATTAGACCCCTGTGTTAGCTGCTTGGAAAAAATTGTCTTTCAGAAAGAAAATCATTGCTCATGAATCTTAAAATTATTAGGAACTACTTCAAGATTTTAATAATTAAGATACTTTTTAATTTTTTTTTTTTTTTTGTCTTTTTCCTTATTATCGGTACCAGGGATCGAACTCACGACTGCCTGCTTGCAAGGCAGGTGCTTATGCTGCTGAGCTAAATCCCCAGCCCCTCTTTGAATTATTTTTAGAAGAGTTTTTTTAGCCTCTGGGTGACATGCTTTATTACCATCATTGGTGTAAAAGTAAAGCAGTTTCTTCCTGTTCCTCACATTCTTGTCATATCCCCAGAAGTATTGATTTATTGTGGGAATTGCTGAATGTTTTATCAGCTAACTGGAAGAGATTGATGGAATACACTATAAATACTAAGAAACGCTGAGTTTTTGGTTTTTTTTTTTTTTTTTTTTTTTTGCTAACACTCATCTAAGCTAGAAGACTATTTTTGTAGTTGATGCTTGAAAATTATATTTAGAGGTATTGTGATTGAGCTTATGTCCTAAGAAACATTATTGTCTTGAAACAGATCTGCTCCATGCAGTGCTTTGAAACCTCTCTTGTCACTTTCAATCACAGCTTCTACACTCTGTCCAGTTGAACCTGTGGGAAGATGGTTTGAAGCTTTTATTAAGAGGAGAAACAGAAATGCTTCTGCCTCTTTCCAGGAGCTGGAGGATAAGAAAGAGTTATCAGAGGAATCAGAAGATGAAGAATTGCAGTTAGAAGAGTTTCCCATGCTGAAAACACTTGATCCTAAAGACTGGAAGGTACATAATGTCTGAATCTTTTGCTCAAGCAACAGTCCGGTGGGTTTTCCATGAACAAGCCATGTATGAAGGCAGTTCAGTGAGATAAGTATGACCGAGTGCCACTTATCTAAGTCTGTGGATGAGGACTTGAACTAAACTTTTGGCTGGGTTTTGAGGAAGA